TTTCGCGTGACCCCCCGATGATCAACCCGGTTGTTCAATTCCATGGAAAATGGCCGTTCCGTCGACTCCTGGGCATGCAGGAGCCCTTCTCAGTGCTCTTCTCCTTCCTCAACTTCGCCGCGCACTGGCACGGCATGTCTCGCATCCAGGAGTCGATCCCCGCCTGGCACTCGCTGCGCCAATACTACATGGTGTTCGGATATATTGGGCTTGCCAGCTGGAGTTTCAGCATGATCTTCCACATGCGTGACTTCCCCTTGACTGAGAAGCTGGACTACTGGGGCGCTGGCGCCAATGTTCTGTACGGTCTCTATCTGGCCGTGATTCGAATCTTCCGACTGGATCTCGAAAATACCCAATACCACCCCACACTGCGTCGCTTCTGGACTGCCATCTGTCTTGTTCTCTACACATTGCACGTTGGATATCTCAGCTTCTGGTCTTGGAATTACACGTACAATATGGCGGCGAACGTGGTGGTTGGAATTATCCAGAATCTGATGTGGACTGGATTCAGTATCTTCCGATACCAGAAGTATCTGAAGTCCTGGACTGCTTGGCCCGGTATGATAGTCGCGTGGATCATCCTAGCCATGAGCTTGGAGTTGCTCGATTTTCCCCCTTGGAACGGATTGATTGATGCCCACAGCCTGTGGCATCTGGGCACTGTGATACCCACTGCTTGGTGGTACTCGTGAGTATTTCCTATCTGATTGATATTTCCATGACTAATGTATCGGTTGTTACCGACAGGTTCTTGATCAAGGACGCACAAGATGATATAGCGGCGCATAGACTGAAGGCATAGACCGAAGGCATGAACACCATTTCGGTTATATATAGAAGCAAGGGTCAACATGTAGCCAAAAATAGTGTCGGTGACATTCCTTCGAGATAACCCCCACTGTAGCAGTTAATTCTATGTTGAGCTCGTCTTATTGCCACGCATTCTGCCGTGTGGTGCCTGGCTTCCCCGCCATTGGCTCACCGCTAGGGCCGTCGCAATAGCCCGTGTCTCACCCCTTCAGCCTTTTTTTGTTTCAACTCTTCACACCTTTCTTGACAGCTTCAAAGCACCTCTCTTTTCGCTTCATATTCCCCCGGTGCTTAGATTGATCATCACATATTGCACCATGGCTTCTCCGGCTGTCAAGAAAGCGATCACCGAGGCGGCGCTCCAGTACATAAAGCCCGAGGGCAGGTTGTTTGAGTATGGAACCGCAGGAGTAAGTCGCATTGGGGAATACTCTACACAGATGAATAGCTGACTTACCTTTGCCGGATTACAGTTTCGCATGAAAGCGTAAGTTTCTTCACTGACCCGCCCCGCCTCCACATCCTCCAGAACCCCGCGATCGTCCCTTTGTTGACATCGACGTATTCTGACCGACTCGCCTCAGTGATCTCCTCAACACTGTTGTTTTTGCCGTTGGCTTGCTTGCAAGCTTGCGCTCCAAGAAGCTCAGCGGACAATGGATTGGTGTTATGGTCACTGCCAGTCACAACCCCGCGGAGGACAATGGTGTCAAGTTGGTTGACCCGATGGTATGATTCAGCCTCTCAACAGTTCTATGGAGATATATCTGACTTATTGTTGTTATAGGGAGAGATGCTCGAGGTAATATTAGCCTGTGTCTAAATTGGGAAAAAATTGCTCACCATAAACAGGCCGAGTGGGAGGCTTATGCGACACGACTGGCCAATGCTCCCTTGGAATCGATCGCCGATGTGTACGATGAACTCGTGAAGGAGATCGACGTGAAGATGACCAACCCAGCCCGTGTGGTATTTGCGCGTGATACCCGTGCTTCTGGTTCCCGTCTGGTTGGCGTGCTGAATGCCGCCCTCACCGCAACTGAGGTCGAATTCGTCGATCTCAAGTTCATGACCACCCCTCAGCTGCACTACGTCGTCCGCTGCAAGAACACTCTGGGAACACAATACGAATATGGTGAGCCCACTGAGCAGGGATACTATGAGAAGCTCGCAAACGCTTTCAAGAAGGTTATGCGCGGCGTCAAGGTTCAGGGTGGCTTGACCGTTGACTGCGCCAACGGCGTCGGTGGTCCCAAGCTTCGGGAGCTGATGAAGTTCCTTTCCGGAATTGATATTAAGGTTGTCAACGACGATGTGATCAACCCTGACAGCTTGAACTTTGATGTATGCCCTACCTGGTCAACAGTCCACCGCACACATTTAACTAATCGCGTTTATATAGTGTGGTGCCGACTACGTTAAGACGAAGCAGCGTGCTCCCCCTTCATCCAAGGCTGCCCAGCTTGACCGATGTGCTTCGCTTGATGGTGACGCCGATCGTCTGGTCTACTACTTCCAGGACGAGAGCAACATCTTCCGCCTTCTCGACGGTGACCGCATCGCCACTCTTGCAGCCTCTTTCATTGGTGACCTCGCTCGCAGTGCCGGCATTGCCTCAAAGCTGAAGATCGGTGTCGTCCAGACCGCCTACGCCAACGGCTCCAGCACAGATTACATCGAAAAGGTCCTGAAGCTCCCCATCATCTGCACCAACACCGGTGTCAAGCATCTCCACCACGCTGCTCTGCGCTTCGACGTCGGTGTCTACTTTGAGGCCAACGGCCACGGCACAGTGACATTCTCCGAGAATGCCCTGAAGGTCATTAAGAACACCGAGCCCCAGTCGCCCGCGCAGCAGCACTCTTTGGAGAGCCTTCAGGCCCTGACCGACCTAATTAACCAGGCTGTTGGCGATGCTCTGTCCGACATGCTTCTTGTCGAGGCCATCCTCGCCCACAAGGGCTGGTCCCCCAAGGAGTGGCTCGGCACTTACACCGATCTCCCCTCACGCCTGGTGCGTGTCGAGGTCAACGACCGCTCTATTTTCAAGGCTTACGATGCTGAGCGTAAGCTCGAATCTCCTGCTGGCCTGCAGGCTACTATTGAGTCCTTGCAGTCTCGCTACAACAAGGGTCGCAGCTTTGCCCGTGCCAGTGGCACCGAGGATGCTGTCCGTGTCTACGCTGAGGCTGCTAGCCGCTCCGAGGCGGATGACCTGGCCACTCGCGTGGCCAATGCTGTCAGTGAGGCGGGTAGTGCCTAGTGGTTTGTTTAACCTTCACAAATAAGGTACAGACCACTGTTTATCTTGGCCAGTGGGGCTAGCACTGGACTTGGAAAACGGGCAGCGAAAAGCCTGCGACTCGAGGGACAGGTAATAAGGTCCAGAAAATATTCGAGGTCATTTTGATGCAGTAATGAAATCTATGGGTTCTTTCAAACACTTGAACACTTTGTACTCTTCGTAGGACATTTATTCTTGTACAACACACGCTTACACCGTACTTTTATTTTATCCCTCTTCCTGATCCATGGCATCACGGCCACGCTTGCCATTGTGCCCGAACTTGCCTTTCCCTTTGCTCCCCTTCTTCTCATCATACGTCTTCATCGCCTGGATAGCCAAACGCTGAGATTCACCGACGCTGTCAGCAAGAAGCATAACCTCATCCTTGGGAGCGTCATATTCAGGTAACTGCTTTCCAAGCGCACCCTCAATCCGCTGCCAGATCTCCACATCATATTGCGACACAAAGCTAATAGCAACACCACTCTTACCCGCACGCGCAGTACGACCAACGCGGTGAATATACGTCTTACTATCAGTTGGCAGATCGTAGTTCAGCACAACATCCACAGAAGGAATATCCAGACCACGCGCAGCAACATCCGTCGCAACGAGGATATCCCGACTACGCGAGCGGAACTTGCCCAGTGCACCGAGACGAGCAGACTGCGAGAGTTGTCCATGCAGCGGGATCGCACCGAGTCCTAGCCCGCGTAGAAGGTAGGCAATACGCTGTGTCTCGTGGACAGTGCGCATAAAGATAATAGCAGACTGGCCGGTGAACTTCTCGAGGAGGTACGCGAGGTAGATGTCCTTGTGTTTGTGTGGGCGGAGTAGGAAATATTGCTGTAGCGTGGAGACGGTCTGGTACTTGCTGGAGGAGATAGAGACGCGCTGCGGGTTTGAAAGCGAGGCGCGCTGGAGCGACTCAACCTTTGAGCTTAGGGTTGCGGAGAAGAGGAAGGTGCGGCGCTCGCGCGGGAGCACCTTGAGGATTTTGTCGAGGATTGGGCCGAAGTCCATGTCCAATAGTCTGTCGGCTTCGTCCATTACTAGGTACTTCATGCTGCGGAGGGAGAAGCCCTTTGTGTTCTCGAGGTGGTCGAGGAGTCGTCCGGGAGTGGCGACGATGATGTGTGGCTTCTTGCCTAGTGCGATGGACTGTGGGACCATGTCCATTCCTCCGACGATTGTTGCGCATCTTACTGCGATGGTTGAGCCGAGGTTCTCGAATGATTGGGCGATCTGGTAGGCGAGTTCACGGGTTGGTGCTAGTACCAGGCCGAAGAATGGCTGGGGCTTTTCCATGAGAGCTGTTTAACGGTTAGCTTAGCTCTTTTGATAGTCTGATGACCTTGGATTATACATACCCTGTAGGATAGGAAGCGCAAAAGCTGCTGTCTTTCCACTGCCTGTTTCTGCAAGACCAATCATATCACGGCCTTGCAAAGCAAGAGGAATTGACTCGGCCTGAATTGGTGTTGGGGCCTTGTATCCTAGGTTTGTGCAAGCTTCGCATAAAGCCTCGATGATACCCAGTTCTTGGAATGTCTTCGGCGCACTTGGGGCGGCCTCAGTCTCGGAGGTAGCATCTTCCACATCGGGGTCCTCGTTGGCGGGCTCGGGGCCAGTAGCGCTCGCATTTGAAGGGGTGCTTTCTTGAACAGGCGCCTCGTGGGCGACCTTGCGCTTCTTGGTGATCGGCATCTTTAATAATCTTGTTTAGCAAAAAAGTCGAAGATGTTCATGTCAAAATGAAATAATTTAATGTGGAGCCGCAATATCGTTGATCCGATTCTGCCGCGGAACTTAATTTTTGGAAAAAAAACCTCCAGCTGTTGGACTTGATTGCTATCCATAAGATTTTCCTCTCCATTTTCTTTTTTTCGGATTCAAAATGGCTAAGCAGCGTGTCAAGAAGCGTACTCACCAGAAGCCGCAGAATGCGTCGGCTGCTGTCAAGGGTGGCGCTGCCTCAATGGCCAAGACCCCAAAGTCTATGGTCATTCGAGTAGGCGCTTCTCAGGTCGGTACCAGTGTCACTCAGCTGGTTAAGGATGTCCGCCGTATGATGGAGCCCGATACTGCCGTGCGACTGAAGGTATAGTTGAGAATGAACTGCTTTCCAAGCTGTGTCTAACAAGATATATAGGAGCGCAAATCCAACAGACTGCGGGATTATACCGTCATGACTGGGCCTCTCGGTGTCACCCACCTTATGCTGTTCTCCAAGTCCGCAACCGGCAACACAAATATGCGATTGGCTGTTACTCCCCGTGGACCGACCCTTCACTTCAAGGTCGAGAACTATTCGTTGTGCAAGGATGTCGAGAGAGCGATGAAGCGCCCAAGAAGTGGTGGCCAGGACCACAAGACCCCACCTTTGCTGGTCATGAACAACTTTACCACCCCAGATGCCACCGAAGAGTCCAAAGTGCCGAAGCGCCTTGAGACTCTCACCACCACGATCTTCCAATCCCTCTTCCCTCCCATCAACCCCCAAAGCCAGCCTCTGCATTCAATTAAACGTGTTATGTTGCTCAACCGAGAGCCCTCCGAAAAGGACGATGACTCATATATTCTGACTCTACGTCACTATGCTATTGCCACAAAGAAGACTGGAGTGTCGAAACGAATCCGTCGCTTGGACCCCAAGGAGATCCGGAATAGAGACAGGAAGGGACATGCCGTTCCCAACCTCGGAAAGTTAGAAGATGCCGCCGATTACCTCCTCGATCCATCTGCCGCCGGCTACACTTCAGCCAGTGAAACCGAGCTAGACACCGATGCCGAGGTGGAGGTTGCAGAGAGCACGACACGCCGAGTTCTGAACAAGAGGGAACAGCAGCGCCAAAAGGCCGCAGAGAAGGGTCAGGATAAGCCCCCTAGCACCCCTGGTGTTGAAAAGCGAGCTGTGAAGCTGGTGGAACTTGGCCCTCGTCTGCGTCTTCGTTTGATGAAGGTCGAGGATGGAGTCTGCGATGGCAAGATCATGTGGCACGACTTCATCACGAAATCCGAGAAGGAGGTGCGCAAGATGGACCAGAACTGGGATGTTAAGAGGAAGGAGAAGGAGCAGAGAAAGAAGCTCCAAAAGGAGAACATTGAGCGCAAGAAGAAGGAGAAGGCCAATGCCAAGGCTAATGGTCAGCAAGTTGCCGATGACGATGATGACGTTGATATGGATGATGAGGAGGCCTGGCTCAGTGATGATGACTATGACCAGGAGGGAGAGGTTGAGGGCGCCGAGACCGAGGAATCCGAAGCCGACTCAGATGATTCTATGGAGGAGTGAATGGTTTGAAACCACGACATTTCCTGACAGAAGCTGCTGCTCGGTCAATACGCACTTGGTGGACTCCCGACTAAATCACCCAGGTCGTCCATTAAGAAGCGTGGTAGGCTTTGTATCAATCAGAGCTTGCCTTTACATCCCAGGTCCGTGTATATAACACCAGGACCATCCTCACCGTCAAATACCCGATAGGCATCCAGGCGTCATTCAGGGTTTTCTACACGTGTAATCGCGAATGTTTGGTTTTCTCAGGATACATATACATGGAGTAAAGCGACAAAAGTTTTAGGGCATGAAAATATCTTGTATGGACTTCAATTGTGAACTGGATCTTCGTTGTTAGCGTAAATCATGAACTCCTAGTCTATTTCTTCAGCTTCTCATCAACAATGCGAGAAACCATCTTCTCCAGAATAGCGAAATCCCCACTAGCCGTGCCAGCAAAGTATCCCTGCACACTCTTCTCGACATACTTGCCGACAATATCAATCTCAACATTGACAAGGTCACCCGCCTTCTTCGACGCAGTAACCACCTTCTCTTGTGTGTAGGCAATAAGCATAACTTCCCAGTATCCATCCTGCCCATCGACAACCTTGGTAACAGTTAAGCTAGCACCGTCAAGGGTAACATAACCCTTCTCGACGACGTAGCGCAGGATATCACGGTCCCGCGGCTGCAGCCGGAACACCAACGAGTTTCCATCTGGCGTCACAGACAGGACTTCTGCAACGGTGTCGACATGGCCCTGTACGAAGTGTCCGCCCATCCTGGTATCTGCCGAGACAGCTCGCTCAAGGTTCACGTAGGAGTTCTTCTCCAATGAGCCCAGGTTCGTGCGGCGCAGCGTCTCTGGCGCAACGCCGACCTTGAACCAGGTTTTGTCGAATGCTGTCACCGTAAGACATGTTCCTATAAGAGCGGCGTTTAGTTGGTCTTCACATATATGGATAGATGGGTCTTAAATACCATTCACGGCAATGCTATCGCCCAGATGCGCGTCGGAGAGGATCTCCTCACAGTCGGAGATGGTGAGCGACGTACCCCCACCCCCGCTCGACGAGGTATCGAGTGGCTCTAGGGCCGTGACGGCTAGGTGAAATATATTAGTCGGAAAGAGATCTCCAGATAGATATGAAACTCACTGCCAATTGTTTCAACGAGACCTGTGAACATGGTTGTTTGTGATCTGCAAGAGAAAATACCCGCGGGGTTGACACACCTCGGCATCGGCCGCCGCTCCGAGCGGTGTCGGTGTCGGCGTTTTGGCGGAGATTCACAATTCCTACATTTAACGTGCCTTTCGAGCCTTTTGTGCTTTTGTTCTTTGTTTTGCGATTTACATACCTGAAGATGACGGTTGTGCTTAAGCTTCAGGCTGTTGCTCGTCGATCGGGCTCGTGTTGGGGCAGCAATGCCTTGCGACGCACGACGCCCTTGAGGAGCTATTCTAGTGCTGCTTCGGTTGATGGGTCGTTGCCTTTGGCTGGTATTCGTGTGCTTGATATGACCCGTGTCCTTGCTGGTGTGAGTTTTGCTCTTGGGTGTGCTGTATCCCTAGAGTCTAAGCTAACCTCTTTTAGCCTTATTGTACTCAGATACTGGGTGATTTAGGGTATGTTGGGAGCTTTATAGCTTCAATTGGTTGTTATTATAGTATTCTGACTGAATGATGTATAGTGCGGACGTTATTAAGGTCGAACATCCTGTGCGTGGCGATGATACTCGAGCTTGGGGCCCGCCCTATGCGAAGTATGAAGATGCGTCCAAGAAGGGCCCTGGCGAGAGTGCCTATTACCTAGCTGTATGTCTTTCTTCGACCTCAATAAGATATATTGTATTAACCAAATCCTCAGGTCAACCGAAACAAGAAATCACTCGGTCTATCTTTCCAACACAAGTCAGGTGTCAAGATCCTACACAAGCTCGCAAAGGAATGTGACGTCCTAGTCGAGAACTATCTCCCCGGTGGCCTTAAGAAATATGGCATGGACTATGAAACCCTGCGAGAGATCAACCCCAAGTTGATCTATGCTAGCATCACTGGCTATGGCCAGACAGGTCCTTACAGCAACCGGGCTGGCTACGACGTCATGGTCGAAGCCGAAATGGGTTTGATGCACATCACTGGAGCTCGAGACGGTGCACCAGTTAAAGTTGGTGTAGCCGTCACCGATCTGACCACCGGACTATACACATCGAATGCTATTATGGCCGCGTTGATTGCTCGGGGCCGCACGGGCAAGGGTCAACATATCGATGCCTGTCTGAGCGATTGCCAAGTTGCCACGCTATCAAATCTGGCTAGCTCTGCTCTTATCAGTGGACAAAAGGATTCAGGGCGATGGGGCACAGCGCATCGTAAGTGTTGAAGAGTCTTCTATGTCTACATTATACTGATGTTTCCCCAGCATCTATTGTACCATACCGAAGCTACAAGACCAGCGATGGAGACATTCTCTTCGGCGGTGGTAATGATAAGCTATTCGGCGTCCTGTGTGATAGATTGGGCTTCCCGGAGTGGAAGACAGATGCCCGCTTCGTCACTAACAGTGACCGAGTGCAGCACCGGACTGAGATCGATGGCATGATTGAGAGTACCACTGCTCAAAAGTCTACACAGGAGTGGCTGGATATTTTTGAAGGGAGTGGGATGCCATATGCTGCTGTGAATGATATCCAGGGAACGTTGAACCACAAGCATGGTAAGTCTGGATACCTTATGTGCGTTACGAACGTGAGTGTTAACTTGACTCAATAGTCCTAGCACGAGGCATGGTAACCGAGATTGAACACCCTGCATGTGGACCTATAAAGCTGGTTAATACGCCTATTAAGTACTCCGAGGCAACACCGGGTGTCCGCACGCCTCCTCCTACTTTGGGCCAGCATACAGATGAGATCTTGGGTAGTGTCCTTGACTATGGTGAGGCAGATATTGCTCGCCTTAAAGACGAGGGTGTTGTTTCGTGAATATTTCATGGTTATGAGACATGAATGTCATTTTCTTCTGTATATAGGGAGTCGGTTGCAAACTGTATATATCTCATGAAATGCTTCTTACTTACCCTCAATATGCTCTACCCTCTAGGTAGGTAAGCATTTTGGAGATTTGGTATCCTTTCCACATTCGTGGATGACCTGGAGTCATACTGAGGTAACTTATTCAATCAAGAACTTGGTGCTGATTGTATACTTGACATGCATGGGCTAGAGATTAATATCGGTCTAAATATAAGATTAGCAAGCGAAACCAAGCTAGAGTAGAACCCTTTCATCACTTTTATTCTAATATATAACTAAAAGAATGAGTGAAAGAAAGCTATTTTAAGGTTGCATTGAATATCACGTGACACTATACAAATGTCTTCCCGACGACATCAATTCATTCAACGGGAGCAATTGAAAGGAACTTGACTATGTCTGCCTCTATGAGACGGCGAAGTCCATTATAACCCTCGAGTCTAAAGGACTCCAAAGCAACATAAATATAGTATTCTTCCACTTTACACTTTCTCCCCTTCCGCTTCACCTCACTTTCGCCTCGGACTTTTCCTGCAACCCATTTTTAAAAACTATCTTCTCAATTCATCGCTGAGAATGCAGGTTTCAGCAACATTCATGGACCTCCCCGCTCCAGATATCCATCCGGGGGTTCCCAAGAACGTCCTCGAGGGCCAAATCTTCAACCATGAGGATGTTGCCCAAGGAATCCCCCTCCTTCCCTTCCGTGGGAGCGCCTGGCCCCCGGCGACGCCACACTGGGTGAAAAAGGGACTATATCTCCAGAGTTACAGGCAGTTTCGCAGCAGCGCCATTTCAATAATGAGAACGTGCCTCTCGACGTCCAACACGTCGATGCCGTCGCCACTTCGTCTCCTAACCGAACTCGGTCTGGCCGCTCTGTACAAAAGCCGACCACACATGATGCTGAAAAAGCGGCGATGAAACAGTCTTCCAAATCTGCTAAATTATCAACAAAGAAGCGACAGCGCACGAAAAGCCAGATAAATATCCTTTGCACCAGCTGCAACCGAGGAAACAGCCCCTCGAACAATTTGATTGTTCTATGTGACGAGTGTGACACTCCCTGGCATCAAAAGTGCCACGATCCGAATATTGGCAACGACGTCATTGAGACCGTGGAAGCTGAATGGGTTTGCAGCGAGTGCAAGCCGGAGCAACGTTCAGCCAAACGCCAAAAGCACACCTCAACTCGCGGCCGTAAGCCAGCAACGAAGCGGTCTCCTCGGACCACATCTGTTCCTCAAACCCCTTCTCAGCCATATAGATCAGCGGAGCGACAGCAGCTGGTTCTTCCAGCGACAGGCGCCATGGCTAGATCTAAGTATCGAGTTGGCGGAGAGGCCTTGTCGGAAGACGAGCGTCGGACATACTTAACATCTCTTTCGCACGCGGAACTAGTTGAGCTTCTTGTGGATGTCTCAAGGGATTTCCCTCGATTCCCTATGTTTCCTTCCAATCTACAACCAGACTCCCAGGAATCGGACCAATCTTCTCAACCCGCGACTGCTCCCACCCCCTCAACAAAGTCAACCAAAGCCAGCCCGAAGAATGGAGCTCGCGCTGTCTCTGTTACTGTTGAGACCCCGGCCACCGAGGAAACTTCAATACGAACCCCAAAGGGACGTACCCTAGACAGGCGAACTCATGCAACCACGGCTTTCCCAGACACGTCCTCTGACCCCACCTTCAGAGCTGCTAGTGCCGCCACGACTGCTATCAGAAACGCCTCTTATGATGTCTATGAGGGTGGTAATCCTATTATCAGCTCTCGCAATGGACTTCCTGATAGACCATTGTTTCCCGATGAAATCCCAGAGTCTGGATCTCTTCTCGAAGTATCTCTTTTCGGAGCACCCTCAGCACCCGTGAAAAATGCTCCAGCATCCGTACAAACGGGTGGCGCTCAGTCGACTCCTGCACCTCGACCCTCAATGGCATCTGACTTTGTGGACACTCTGGCTTCCCGGACTGCTGCCGGGAATGATGCGGGAACCCCATTTAACACAATGCATAAAGCTCCATCTAAGATGGTGATGCGCCCGCCGTCGCCAGTGTCATTCTCTGGGAATGACTCTGATAATGATTCTGTAGATTATCGCGCTTATGCTGATGCTGGTGAGGGCTTTAATGCTTCTTTGGCTGTGGATGATCGGGATATTATGGCTGAGGCTGAGGACTATCCTACATTCAGTCATTCGGTTCGTTGGAAGAAGTGACAGGCTAAGAAGCTTGCTAAGTCTTAGCAGTGAGGGTTGGCTTTCAGTCTGTCTTGTATCACCATAGAGAGGCTCATGAATTGACGGGTTTCCTTTGTTTAATGAGGATCATGGGAGCTTGGTTGGTTTGTGTCAGTGTCGTTTTCATTGTATATTTATCCATGGATTCTATCTAGATTTGTTGTTCTGTCTGTTTTATTGATGAGGTGCTTTGCTATGATCTATCGGCCGGTGTTAGAGGTCTGCTTGGGATGCCTTTCTCGGCAAGGGGTTCTATCAATTGAATATATTGTTTTCGGTTTGACTCCTGAACAATAGCATTAGTTTCTTCGCCTTGAACTGACCATTAAGCCAAGGTCCAAATACTTATACTATAATTAGCCCTGAAATCACTGTTGTAGTTCATATTTTATCGGCCCCGCAAGTTATAAGCGCTTGTCAGGTCCACTTCAATCTTCAATTGTCGACGCTACTTACCCTGTAATGCGCTGGCTATAATGTGTTATATGAACTAACTGCAATATATCGAACCCACAACAGCCTCCGCCAAGGCCAACACAGCCTAAACGGCCAACCACACACCATTTCCAACACCAAACACCAACCATCAAACACATTCAAAAAGGGCAAGAGACAAAAATGTCCCAAATCCAACCCCTAAAAACAACTGCAAATCCCCAACGCCATTCTCAATCCCAAATCCAACTCCCAACCTCAACCCTCTACTCAATCGACACCCTCCTAAACATCCTTCAAAAGTCCCTCCTAAACCCCTTCGTCGCCTGGATCCTCGTCCTCTGTCTCCGCGCCCAAGTGACACCCCTATCTCACCCATCCTGGATCCTAACAGTCACCTACGCAACCTCCCTAACGATCCTGTGGGTCCTGCGAACAATCAACCAGCGCGTCGCGTATGGGGTGCAGCGCACTGTCGATTTCGAAAATGAGGTGGTGGTGATTACTGGGGGAGCTAGTGGGTTGGGGTTGTTGATTGCGCAGAATTATGGGATGCGCGGGGCTAGTGTTGCTGTTTTGGATGTGAGGGATTTGGGGGAGGAGGGTGTTGAGGAGGTTTTTGGGGCTGGGGTTTTGTATATTCGTTGTGATGTTGGGGATAGGGCCGAGGTGGAAGGCGCGAAGGGAAGGATTGTTGATGAGGTATGTTATATATTTGTTTTTCCTGGTTTAATTGTTTTGGGATTATATGTTGGGACTACAGGTTCTCATGACTTGCTTTTTTATGCTTGATGGATTCTGATTTGCTAACTGTCTCGCAGCTGGGGACGCCGACTATTGTTATCAACTGTGCCGCCGCCAGGATCAATGGCCTTCCATTGCTGGATTTACCGACGGATGCGTTTGAGAAGACTATCCGCACCAATCTCTTGGCGGGGTTCCATCTCTACCAAGTGTTCCTGCCTGGAATTCTGGAATCGGAAGGTGGAGGCACACTCGTTACGGTCAGCTCGGTGCTGGGTCGATTGACGGCCGCCGGACTATCGGACTATGCAGCAAGTAAAGCAGGACTTAGTGCGCTGCATAAAACAATAGAAGCGGAGATGCGCGGCAATCCGCTAGTGAAGACATTGCTAGTGGAGATAGGGCAGATGTCAACACCGCTATTTGGCTGGGTCCGCGCACCGAACCATTTCTTTGCGCCTGTCTTGGAACCGGTCCAAGTTGCCCGCGAGATGGTGACTGCGATTGATAGCGGTCGAGGTGGTGTAATCAGATTGCCTTTGTATGCGGCACTCGTGGATTGGTATGCCGTGCTACCAGCTGCGCTGCAGCGGATTGCGAGGTATGTGAGTGGGATCGATGCTGCCGTGACTCAAAGCCGGGAAGCATCTCGGAAGACAGAGTGATTGGTAGCTCAGAAGCTGAGCGATGTATATATGCGAGGTCGTGGAACAAACTCGCTCAACATGTATTATAGAGCGGGGCGATCTGCTGTTCATTGTACAATTTTCCCACTTGAAGAATTCCTCAATTGCAAGTCTCGGCGCCGAGTCTGGTCGGTGGAGGTGATACCACTGGTCCTGGTCTATTGCTCGCGAGCCAGGATCATCTTCTCACGCTCATGGCTCCTAGGAGCCAAGTTGCTCTTCTTGGTATGCTTGCGCACGTTTTCCTCACGCCTCTTAATAGCATTGAGCTCCTCGCGCTTGATCTCGCCGGCCTTCTTGATAGGCTTGGGAACATGACGCTGGCGCTTGATACGGCGGATATCGGGCATGTGTGAGTAGCGCTTGATCAAAGCCTGGTCGTATTCCAGCTTGGAACGTTGGCGAGCACTCTTGATACCACTGCGGTCTGAGGCCTTGGCACGCCAGAGACGGACATTACCATCGTCTGATCCAGAAAGGACGTACTTGCTGTCAGGTGTGAAGCATGCGGTGAACACACTATTGAGAAGTTAGCATATGATATCATTATAGAGAGCAGCAAGACATACCGTTGCATCCGCTTGGTGTGGTAGATGTCGCGCGAGTGGCCAGATGCTCTGTTCCACAAGCGAATTGTCCGGTCGTAAGAGGCAGTGACCAGCTCTTCACCAGTTGGGCTGAACTCCACGTCCATGACAGCAGCCACATGGTCCTTCAGAACATTAAGAGCACGATCCATCTTTCTCATGTCGAAGATGTAGGCGTTGTGATCTTCGTTTGCCACGGCGAAGTTGAATGCTTCTATAGGATTCCAAGAAATGGCATTAGATGCCAGACGCAGGGTCGTCTTGTGGACTGGCGAGGAAGTCCGCAGGTCATACATGATAATGGAGCGGTCGATAGCAGTTGAAGCAAGAATAGACGTCTCAGTCTGGTTGAATGCAACAGATGAGATGGTGTCGACGCTTGTCGGCCAGTGCAAGGTTTGCGACGGAGTCGAGGAAGGCCGCGAGAGATCATAAATAGAGATAACACCGGAAGCGGCAGCGAACGAGGGGTGATCACGGTGGTGTGACACACTGGTGAAGGCACTGTTGCCCAGATAGGTTGCCATCGGGGGTGCGTCGGAGTTCGAGTTGTAAGGATCCCAGAGTTTCACAGTCTTGTCGGTGGCGCAAGATAACAGTTTTCGCTCTGGTGTCCAGCACAGCCCCTTGACCATATTCTCATGACCTTGGGTGTTCCATACCTCGCCTTGCGTCGTCAGATCCCATACCTTGACGACACCATCACCACTGCCGCTAGCCAAGCGCTCGAGCGAACCGGGATCCTTTGCCATAGAGTAGACACCGTCCACGTGACCGTTGCCCATCTGGGCAAGGAAAGGAGCAGCAAACATGCGCTCCATCTTGATTGCATTCAGAGCCCGAGTGTATTCACGAGCCCGCTCAAAAGGATGCTGGGTCGGGTCGAGATTCCGGGACTGGCGAACAGTCGAGGACCCGGGGGCCTGCTGCGACGCCGTAGGGCGGGAAAGGGCTTTGATTTTCTGTTAAGCATTAGCATCGCAATCCGGTAGGAAAATTTTTAAGGAAAAATACTCACCATATTGTTGTTGTGAAAACAATGTAGAGAGTGAAAGAAAAACGCCGATGGAACTTTTTTTCTGTTTGATTTGCTAAGCGGGCGGTGAGAGGTCGATGAGCTGCCAGCTTCGAGCTCCCCGTCTCTCTTGACCTGATTATCAACCTTCCTTCAATCCACCATCTCCTCTTATTTTCTTTTTTTAAATCTCTCTCTTTCTTTCGCTCGTCATTTGCCGTCCTCCGTCATGTCCTCCAAGGTTTCGCCGCGGATACAAGAAGTCCGCGATCTGGTGAAGCAGGATCCCTCGAAAGCAGCGACCAGTTATCAGAAGATCCTCTCCGAGGGCCCAGGATCTACAGAAGCCTCTTCGCGAGACTATGAACATGCTTTGATTGGGTTGGGTCAGCTGCATCGGGATGCGAAGAAACCGCAAGCCATTGCAGAGCTCATCAAGACCAGCCGGGACACCTTTTCGTCATTTGCTAAAGCGAAGACGGCCAAGTTGGGTGAGTTGCGCATCTAAAAAATTAATAAATCTCTAGCTAATTTTTTTAGTCCGACAACTCTTGGATCTGATCAGCGAAATCCCCAATACCCTCGAACTCCAAGGCAACGTCATCCAATCATGCATAGAATGGGCCATCGCCGAGCGGAGATCTTTCCTTCGACAGAACCTCCAGGCACGTCTGGTTGCCATCTATATGCAGAAGCAGTCCTACTACGATGCTCTCACCCTGATCAATTCCCTTCTTAAGGAGCTGAAGCGCCTGGATGATAAGCTTATGTTGGTGGAGGTACAACTGCTTGAGTCGCGTGTGTATCATGCCCTGGGCAACCAGGCCAAGGCTCGCGCCGCTCTCACAGCAGCACGGACGTCAGCCGCATCTGTTTACACACCACCCAACCTCCAGGCAGGTCTTGATATGCAGAGTGGTATGCTACACGCCGAGGACAAGGACTTCACCACTTCATTCTCCTACTTCATTGAAGCCCTTGAGGGATATAACTCGCTCGATGAGAATGACCTGGCTACGGCAGCTCTGCAGTACATGCTGCTTTGTAAGATCATGTTGAACCTGGTGGATGATGTCACACAACTGCTTGGCTCTAAACAAGCGCAAAAGTACGCCAGCCCACGCCTGGAGGCCATCAAGGCCGTTGGACGCGCACACGCCAATCGGTCCCTGGAGGAGTACGAGAAGGCCCTGTCGGACTACCGATATGAGTTGGGCAGTGATGTCTTCATCCGGAACCACCTCCGCCGCCTTTACGACGCCATGTTGGAGCAGAACTTGATCAAGGTCATTGAGCCCTTCAGCCGGGTTGAGCTGGAACACATTGCCAAGATGGTGGGCCTGGACACGCAGCAGGTTGAGCGCAAGCTGTCCCAGATGATCCTGGACAAGGTGATCATTGGTGTGTTGGATCAGGGCTCTGGGTGTCTGATTGTGTATGACGAGACAGAACGTGACCAGGCGTACGATGCCGCTCTGGAAACGATCGAAAAGCTCGGCAATGTGGTGGAAGGCTTGTATACTAACCAGGCATCTCTTCTGGAGTAGAAGAGAGTCTGATGTTGGATGACGGCTCCATAGGAAATAATCGAGACTATGTATTGCACGATTAAACTCAACATCCACTTTAAATATTGTGAGAATATTAATGTTAAAGTAAAACCTTAGACTGATCGTGGAGTATCATATTCAAGTGAGGAGCATTGCGCTGCGTTGAAGTGCGTCGAACATAGTGTTGTTCGCGCTCCGCCGAAAAGGGTAAAGCGCGACGGCAAAAGAATCGCGACTTCGCATCTCCAACATCTCGCATCTTCCCCCATCGCATATTCCCACACCACCTGTTCGGTGCCTTTTTCTACCGAAAATGCAAGCTCCTATGCAGCCCAATTACGCTCGGGGGTTTCCCCAACAAGCACAGCGGTCTCCCGCTGCGCCCCGTCGCCCCCCAGTACCAGGTACGTCCCCTTTCATCGGTCTCCACTCTAGACTCTAACCTCATATCTCGATAGGCGGCGCAATGCCCGTTCCAATGCCTCAACAGGCTGTTAACCCACAGTACATGCATGCGCAACGCGCCATGCCCCACCCTAACGACGCTGCTCTTCGTCGCAGCCGCAAGCCGACAGACAGGAATCTCCCGGACGGAATTGAAGACGTGATCATCGGCGAAGGTGTACAGCAATATAAGAACCTCCGCGATTTGGAAAAGCGACTGGATGCAGCGGTTGTACGGAAAAGATTGGATATCCAGGACTCGATCAACAAGACTGTCAAAAAGTACCGGACTATGCGCATCTGGATCTCTAATACCGTCGAGAGTCAGCCGTGGCAAGGTGCCGGCAGCAACCCTGGATCTGGTCGGTACAAGGTCCGCATTGAGGGACGCTTGCTGGATGACGAGACCGACCCTACGGTCCCCGACGAGGAGGAGAAGGACGAAGATGCGATGGATCACGACGGCTCTGAGGAGGAGAAGGCGAAGAAGGCCGAGTCGAAGGCCCAGTCCCAACGCTTCTCGCATTTCTTCAAGGCTATCACCATCGACTTTGACAAGCCCGTCACTGCAATCCCCGATGAGGTCAAGCCTGTCAACTGGTCAAAGCCAATGCTGCCTCCCAACACCACAACGCCACCCCCGAACGCTGAATTTGATAGCCTACAGTTCTCGCGTGCCTCCCAGGACAACTTGAACGTCACAATCAGTCTTGTGCGTGACGAAATCCCAGAGCGATACAAGCTGAGCAAGGAGCTTGCCGAGGTTCTGGATGTCGAAGAAGAGACTCGAAGTGGAATCGTGCTCGGAATCTGGGACTACATCCGCGCCATGGAGCTGCAGGAGGACGAGGAGAAGCGTCAAGTGCGCTGCGATCACCGTCTGCGCTCGGTATGTGTATTGAAGTACCATTTTGACCACAATAACTAACTACTTTATAGATCTTCGGCCGAGACCAGATGTTCTTCCCTCAGATTCCCGAAAGTGTCGGACCTCACACCAGCCCAATGGAGCCCATCAAGCTCCCATACACTATCCGCGTCGACGAAGAATTCCACAATGACCCCACACCCACCGTCTACGATATCCAGGTCGCGGTTGAAGACCCCTTGCGCACCAAGATGATGGCTCTCACCCAGAACCCACAGTACACAGCTGGCATGCGCCAGATCTCCTCGCTGGACGACCAAGTTGCTCTGATCGTCCAGGCTCTTACACACTCCCGTGCTCGCCACTCCTTCTACACTGCCCTGAGCAAGGATCCCGTTAACTTCGTTCGCCGCTGGGTCAACTCCCAGCGCCGTGACCTGGAGACGATCCTTGGCGAGGCTACCCGCGGTGGTGGTGAAGATGGTAGCGGGCCTGAGTTCCGCTATGGCGGTAACGATGGACCTTGGGATACTGTTGTTGCCAAGGAAGCTGTGCGGTACATGCTGGCTAAGCCTGAAGCCGTGGGTGTTCGGTAAATTCAGTTCTAGCTGTTCTTTTTTTAAAGCTCATCTCCAGGCTGCTATTAATGCAGAAGAGATGTAGTTGTGTACTTTTGCTTATCTTTGATCTCGGGCGCTTATGTGGTGTTTGGCTGGTGTAGCTGGGATGACAGGCAGGATTAATACTTCCAAAATCCGTACTTCAATCTGATACGATGCAATATGATTCTGCTTTTTCGCAAAACGCAAGTTAAATAATCAAATGACCAAGAAGCCAGGAAAATAGATTTGGCAACTGCTGTCTACGTTCACCCCGTAGTTCATTCCGTGAGAAGTCGAGTGTCGGCATGGAAGATGCCCAATACGCCAAATTCTGAGCCGTTTCTCTACACCAAGCATAGAGGGATAGATCCAGGCCACCAAAATCAATATGCAATCAAAGCCAGCCCGCAAAACTCCAAGGGAAAGCATACTGTAGCATCCCCCATGATAAAGACGATTGACCAGAACATCACTCATCCAACCTAAGAGCAAAATGTATGGAAGACGGTGAAGCTAAGAACCCTCAACCTCTCAAGGCAAGATCCTAGTCATCCAAAGACTGATCCAACCGCCCCACCTCAGACTATCAAGCCCCAGGCAGAGGAACCTTAGCAACAAGCTCCGCCCTCCGTCTGCGCAACTCCTCACCAAGACCAGAGTCCACGGCTGAAGAAACCTGCTCCTGCAACAAGGAAAGATCACCTTGCAAGATAGCGCTCTCCTCCTGCTCAAGCTTTGAGGCAGCTTCAAGAACGATATCATGAACGATATCCTCCTTAAGCTGCGCTGCCTTCTCCTCCTCCTTCTTCCCTCCTTTAACAGCATCCTTCGCCGGACTACGGAACCGCTTGAGAACAGTCTCCACCATCTTCGAGAACCAGAAGTAATTCAAGAAGTTAAGAATCAAGTTCGAGCCCACGTACGTGACAACCAGCCAAGTCGGCACGCCGCCGGCCGTGTACTCCTTGAACCGGGTGATTTCGGCGTTGGCACGAGCACAGGTCTCGTCGATACACATGCTGCCATCGCGAGCTGGATAGAAGACGAGAGCGTTGACGCTGACGGGTTCTGAGAGCGGCGATGATGCGGATGCGGACCAGGTGTGCTGCAGGGCGTTCCACATGTCACCGTAGACGATGATTGATTGCCAGGTTCCCCAGACTAGGCGGCAGGCGAAGAATGTCGAGAGGAGGGCCATGCCGTTGTACCACTGGGCGCGGCTGCCGGTCATGTTGACCTTGTCGAGGAACCAGTGGATGTTGAGGAATGGGCTGGAGAGCTCGTAGAGGATGAAGGTTGGGGCGTAGTAGTTTAGGAATGGTCTCTGTTGGGGGCTCGTGTTAGATAGGTGTTGGAGTTGGTGATCGTCGTTTTTAAATCAAAATGTAGATCATTCCTGTATAGATCAACTTACAAAGCCAAGGCTGAATACCCATAAGGCGCTAACGGCGTGGAAGAGTAATCCAATTCCGAACATGCGTACATGTCTAATGCTGACGATTAGGTCGTAGACAAAGTAGCCTACGGCTAGAGCCTGGACGAAGCCGCAGGCACCTGTATATCCGAAGACCCGCTCTCCGGAGGACATGGAGTTGCGTTCTTTGTCAACGACCATAATCCATAGAGCGGCGACGTTGATAACGATGCTCTGGACTAGGGAGACAACGTGGATATCCCAGTTCAGCTTAGTTCTCCGGGTGAGCTTGTTGTAAGACTCTGGGAAGAAAATCGGAGAAAGCCATGGCGAGAGGACGGCGTGGATGAATAGATAGAACGCAAAGGCCAGGATCACCTCGTGGATGTGCTCGGAAAGCGTCGGACTGTTAAGCCAGAGGGCATAGGGCTCGGTAAAGCTCCGTAGCCATTCCGGGACTGGCGGGAAGGGGTCCAACATTGTTGGAGTCCCCTCAGCTGATGTGGGGGAAAGCCGATGGTAGTTGGGGGGTCTGGGGGGAACGTGTTTCTATATGTAGTTGAGAGGGCTACTCCCTAACATAGAGACAAAAGGAAAGTTAGAAACAAAGGAAACCCAGAGACCCAGGAATAGGAGAGAAGAGCTCCATGGGAAAACCGGAATGATAAGATGACGAGTAGGCCGAGGTCCGGCCTGAGGCACGAATTGTTGGGACGTCACATGATCACCTGCCCTTGTCATTTATACTTCCAAAAGAGTGATAAGTTAGTCATGCCCAGGTGTATACTTACAAAGAGCGAGAGTGGATTATTACAGAGTGCCGAGTCTACGATGGACAGGTGAAGATGCTACACGACAAATCTTGTACTCATGATCAAAGTATGAGGACCTGCTGATATGGACCACATGAATCTATACAATTTCACTAACGTCACATGAGGGGACCAGAAAAGCCCAGAGGAACGGAAGACAACAAGAGAAATCATTAAACAATACACATTCCAAGGGTCACAAACGAAAGTCATCCAAAGTCATCCAAACCCGAAACACAACAAGAGTGGTATATGAAAAGAATAAAAGGAAAAGGAAAAAAAGGGCAACCCCCAACTCCGTAAAACACGACTGTCATCAAACAGCAACATCAGTACCAAGACCGCTGTCGCCAGGCGGGGCCAAAAGCTTCAAGACTTCCGCCTCAGCAGCCAAATTTGCCTCCCTGATCTGCCGAGAGACATCCTCATGCCCGTCATCCTCTTCGTGGTCCCCGTTTACAGAATGCTCATCCCCATGCGCAGTATGCGCATCGTCTTCTGACTCGGACCCATCGATGGAGATATCATCATTGTGGTCCTCCTGGTCATGCTGGATAACCGAACTCTCCGCGTCATCGTAGTCATTGTTGGAGGTCACACCGCTGAAACGACGGGGATCGGTAGTATCGGTAACCACACTCTCGACAATGCTGCCGGCGTAGCTTGGCTTTCGCTCCGTGCCGGCATTGCTCTCTTCGTACACTGTTTCCCGTTCGGTACCGGCATTGCTTTCGGCGTAGCTGGTCTTTCGGTCCGAAGGAGCATTGCTAGGGGCATAGCTTGACTTCCGGTCGGTGGGAGCGTTACTCTCAGCGTAGCTCGTCTTGCGGTCTGAAGGAGCATGGCTCTCTGCGTAATTGGTTTTCCGGTCGGTTCCAGCGTAGCTTGTCTTGCGCTGAGGCCCAGCTTCGCTCTCTGGTTCGCTGGCAAGTTCATCCTCCTCGTGGAAAGGCTCGTTCTCTTTGTTGATAACGGAGGATCGACCAGCCCATGAAGTGTTGCGTAGAGCATTCGACTTAACCGAATGGCTGCGCTTCAGATTCGTAATACCGGTGTTGGAACTGACCTGGCGGTCTGCGCCTCGATTGCCCGTGACATGGCTCAAGCTGAGAATTCGGCGTTCCTTTCCAATGTTAGGCTGCACAGCAACTGTTCCTGCTTGAAGAGAGGTGGGCATCCTGCGCTTCAGAGCAATGCCAACGCCATTACCGAGGAGACTGCGGGTGTCCTTGGGTTCCTTAGCGGTGCTAGCGGTGCTCGTCGCACTGGGGCTGCGGGCACCCGAGCGAGAGGTACGGTTGCTGCGAGTGCTTCGGTTCCTCTTCAGGTTCATAGCCTGCAAGCTGTTGGACCGGCTAAGAAGAACAGTGCGGGCATGGTCGAGCACACCCTCCAAAATGCGCTTCTCGAGGCCATCGGCACGATCCTCCATCTGTCGCATTTCTTCATGGCGAATCTCGAGGGCTGTCTCAAGACCAGCCAGATCCTTGCTGAGCTTGTTGTTCTGTCTGATCATGTCTTCCTTCTCCGCTTTCAGACGGTGGACCATGGTCAGAAGGGAATCCTTCTCTTCGCTCAAGTTGACAATCTCGGCTTCAACTTGCTCGCGCTGTGCGACTCTCCGCTCCAAAGCGATGCCAGCCTCCTCAGCTTCACGACGCTTTCTCTCGGTATCTTCAGCAACAATCACTGACTGAGCTGCAAACATCTCGTTCATCCGGCGTGCATTCTCCATGATGTCCTTGTGCATTTCATCAAGCTTCATCATCTGGGTAACCGATTGTTCGGGATCCGTTGCATGAGTGGGGCGGCTTAGAAGAGCATCTAGCTTCTCGTGCACAGGACCAGAACCATTGGTGGCGTGATCTAAAAGCTGGTTGAGCTTTTCATAGATTTGGCCATTGTACTCTGACCCTTGATCTAGAGCACGGTCAAGCTTTTCGTGGAGCTCCTCATTTCTGGAGTTCTCGGATAAAGCCCGATCAAGCTTCTCATGGAGCTCATCGTCTTTTGTGGGCTGAAGCAAGGCCCGGTCGAGCTTTTCATGAACATCCTCATTCTTGGAGTGCTCAAGCAGAGTCTTCAGGATATCATGGACCTGACTGTTTCTAGCATGCTCCAACAGATCGTCGAGCTTGCTATGGACAGGAGTGTCCTCGATGGCAAGTGTACGGCTTGCCTCCTCGGGCTCGGGCTCAGGTGGAGGAAGCGCAGGGAGCATCTGAGGTATGTTGGCTGGCAGAGCCGACAGCTCCGACTTGAACTCTTCAGCTGACTTCTGCGAGTGATCGTAGTGCTGGCTGACAATTGTCAAAATTTCCTGCACACTCTCCAGGATCTGCGGGTGGAACTCGAGAAGCTTGCTCTCCACTCGATCAGTGGCAGCAACAGTCTTCTCGGTATCAGCCTGGGACTGTTCCCGATGAGACTTCACATCGTTATGCATCTCCTCCATTTGCTGGCGAGACTCGTTAACACGCTCGAGCAGGACTTTGGTTTCCTCATTCATACGTTCGCAGGTCTCGTTGACAGTGTCACCCATAGAACCGATCACGAGTCTGATGTCTTCAGCAAGACTCTTGGTGCTCGTGAGCGATTCGGTGTGTGCCAGGTCTCGCTCCTCGGTTTCGGAGAACTTTGAGTGGAGCGAGGTGTGCGCATCTTCATATTTGGCCAAGACTTCTGCAATCTTCTCATCAATCTTGGCTCCGAGTTCGACAATAATAGCAGCCCGTGTCTCGTCATGTTTGACGATAGCAGCAGCGTCACGCTCCTCCTGATCAATTTTGACTGCATCCTCTTCCCCGCGGGAACGTTCGAATTCCCGGTTGATGAGATCGTTCAGTTCCTTGATATTGTCGACGGTGCTGAAGTTCTCGGCAGTAATGGCGAGCCCCTCAAGCAGCTGCTTTAGTTCACTCAGGCCTTCGTTGCTGCCGTCAAGCTTGCTCTTGAGTTCATCTCCGAGCTCGCCAACAACGTACTTGGCCTCATCGATCTTCTCATCGATCTTCTCGGCAAGACCACCGTGCTCGACCTTGCGCGCATCGAATCCTTGGGCAGTTAATTCGTTGTTGGCCTCCATCTTCTCACGGAAGTCGCTAACAATGGTGGAAAGCTCCTGGATTTCAGCCTTGGTGGGGAGGGTCTCAACGTCGGGGAGCTTCAGCTCGTCAACCTGAGTCTTGACCTCGAAGATCATAGCTTCGACTGTTTGCAAATCCGACTTGAGTAGCTTTTCGGGGTTCTCCTCTTCCTCTCCATCCTTGGCCTTGCCCTTGAGCTCGTCCAGTGCGACCCAGACATCCTTGATGAGACCCTCCAGAGTACCGATCTCAGCCTTTGTGGGGGCTTCGGCTTCCATGCGGCCAGAGAACTCGGTGATAGAATCCTTGGCTTCGCGAATCATAGTCTCCAGAGCTCCGATTTGCTCGGAAGTCGCGACCTCGTCCGGTGAGGGGAACACCAGCTCATCAATCTGGGCCTTCGTGCTCATAAGCAACTGCTCGAGGGCTTCGGTGTCTTGCTTCTTGGCTGTGTTGTCATCCTCCGGGCCTTTTTGAGCACCCATCTCACCAATAGCAAGCTGAATCTCCTGAAGAGCCATTAGGACTTCGTCAAGGTGCGATTGCTTCAGGGCATCCTCGGCGGGCTCTGCAGCACGGGGGGTGGATTCAATGGCATCAACCTTGTTTTGGAGTTGAGTGATCAGCGCCTTAAGACCATCGATATCGGGAACAAGTGTGTTCTCAGCTTCAGCAGACGGGGTCTCATTTGCAAGCATGAGTTCACCGCCGCGCATCCCCTCCTGTTCCGGCTCTTTTTGAGATTCGCGGAGGTTTTCCATGTCGAGTTTCAGATCAGCAAGGCCGTCTTTGATGGTCTCTAGAATTTCAGAGCTGTCGAACTTGGCCGGCTTTTCCAATAGCTTCTTCAAGTCGTCCCGGATCGAGTCAACACCATCCGTGAATGCGTCAAGGAGTTCGCTTGTTGTGGACAATGTGCTTTCGTTGCCATTACGCGAGGTCTCTTCGCGTAGGTTGTCGAAGTGCTCACGGAGTGCCGAAATAATCTCGTCCTTTTCGGCACCTGGCTCAGCCCGGACGACGCTCGAGTCCATGCGCTCTCGAAGGTTCTCAAATTCTTGCTTGATGGTGTTAACCACCTCATCATCGCCAGAACTGCCCTTATTGTGTTCAGAAGCTTCCCTGATAGCATCGATGATCTCGTCCTTGTCCGCAGTGGCGTTCTCGCGTAGGAGAAGGGTAGTAATTGTGCCTCGCAAGTGCTCAAACTCTTTCTCCATAGCATCCAAAAGCTCTGGGGTGTCCGGGTTACCCTTTGAGCCGTTTGAAAGGGAAGTGTCGGTGATCGTCTTTTCCATGTCAGCCTGGAGAAGGCGGAATCCTTCCTTGACAGTGTCGATAACTTCGTCTTTGCCTGAAACTTCGGCAGCTGTGACAACGTACGACTCGATTTCCCTGCGGACGACCTCGAGGCCATCTTTGACTGCATCAAGGACTTGCTCTGTATCCCTTCCATTGGCGGCAGAGTACTGTTTGAATTCCTCCTTCATGCCTTCGAGTAGGTCCTGGAGGCGTTCCATTACCTCTCCGCCAACATTGTTGGTTGCGGAACTGTTTACCTCTTGAAGACCAGCCGTGATTGCATCCATAAGGTCATCCTTGTTCAATTCAATCTCTCGTGTGACTGAGTTGCCATTTTGGATGCCTTCGGCGATTGCGCTCAGGATTTCTTCGCGCGAGATAGGTGGTTCCGGAACGGTGGCCAGAGCCGACTGTTGGCTAGTGTTTGAGTTCTCGATACCTTCTGCGATGGCACTGATAATGTCCTCTCTGGAGATGCTTGACTGCTGGAGACCGGAAGAGCGTTCAATACCCTGTACTATTGCATTGAGGATTTCATCGCGGGAGATGCTGGGCTCGACGCTCTTGTTCAGAGAGTGCTGGGAATGTTCGATTCCATCGATAATGGCATTGAAAATCTCCTCACGAGAGATGGGAGCAGGCTTCTCATCCTCGTGCTCAGTATCAGCCAAGGTGAGAGCTCGTTCAGCGCCGTTCGAATTCTGGATCCCATCTGCAATGGCGTTCAAAATCTCATCTCGGGAGATACTTGGTTCCTTGGTAGTTGCCGAATGTTCCATGCCGTCCACAATTGCTCCTAGAATCTCTTCTCTGGTGATCCCAGGCTGACCATTGTTGCTCAGAGAGGATTGAGAGTGCTCGATGGCATCAACAATGGCGGTGAAAATTTCCTCACGAGAGACAGACTGCTGCACATTGGTGCTGATGGCTGACTGTTGGGCATTGATTGAAGCTTCGATACCCTCGGCAATGGCATTCATGATCTCCTCGCGAGAGACATTTGGTTGAGTGCCAACGCTCAGGGCAGATTGTTGCGCATCAAATGCTTCATTTACAGCGTTCATGACATCGTGTCTGGAAATGTGTGGTTCATCCATCTCCTTGGCTGCGGTGAAGTGGGCCTCGAGGCCATCAGAGACAGCGCTGACAATCTCATCACGACCAAGTCCAGAATCGAGAGAATCCTTGCTGAGTGTACTTTGGGCCATTGAACCAGCCAATGCTCCAAGGATTTCATCACGGATAGAATTGAGGTGTCCAACATGGTCCTGGTCCTCGTGGATAGACCGGGAGCCCTCGTTGTGGAGAGCCATGGCTCCATTGACTGCTTCGAGGATTTCATCACGAAGGGCGGTCAGGTGATTGACGTGTTCCTCGTCCATAGATCGGGAACCTGTGTTCTGGGCAGTCATCACTCCAGTGACAGCTTCAATGATCTCATCTCGAACGGAGTGGAGGTGTGTTTCGTCCAGCGACTTGGAGCCTTCGTTCAGTGCAGTCACAGCGTCCATAATCTCGTCACGGATGGCGTAAAGGTGGTTGACATCATCTTCACCCAGCCCCCTAACATTTGCGCTGTGTGTAGCCATAGTGTTGACCACCGACTCGAGAATCTGATCACGCATGGAATTGAGATGGTTGAGATGTTCCTCATCGAGACCTCGGGGAGCAGGCTCAGGCTGTTTCTCCAGGCATTCACGAATGGCCAGGATGACTTCATCTCGGGAGATACCAGGCGGCTGTTCGATTTGTGGCGGGATGAACTTCTGCATGCCATCTTCAACAGCTGCAAGGACCTGGTCATAGGTTATAGACTCGTGCTGAGGCTGATGAGACTTGAAACCTTCTTCCAAACAGGTGAGGATTTCGTCGCGTTCCAAGCCAAAGTTGTTGAATTCGATCTCAGGCTTGTACGTTTCCCATGCCTCACGGACTGTTTCGAGAATGTCCTCTCTATCCATTTCAGCACCGCGTGGCTCAGCGTGAGGCTGGGGAAGTTCAATCTCGTCGAGGGCTTTCTTCACAACAGAGTAAATGGCGGCGCTGTTCATGGTTGATCGGAACTCAGACAAGTCGGAGGATTGTTGGCGACTCTCATTGATAGTAGCAGCCAGCTGCTCTTTGAGGTCGTCAAGACTGCGGTTGACAATGGCTGAGATTTCTTCTGGTCCAGCAGGTCGCGGCTGGTCCTCGGCTTGATCATTCGCACGAGCAGACTCGATGCCGTCGAGGCGTCGACTAAGTTCTCGACCCATTCCTAGAACCTCACCTCGTAATTCACGGACAAGGCTCTTGACGCCGTTGGTCATACCACCTCCTTCGACGACGCTGTTCTTGACACTTCGAAGAATTGCCAAAACTTCGTCGGAATTGGGTGCAGAGCCATCGGTCTTATCAGTCTTAGAAATATCAAGTGCACGTACAACATCTGGATTCATAGGTCCCATTGACCGAGAACGCGTGCCCTCGGGCTGGGCATCGTCAGGCTGGAGGGAATCGAGGTTGTCGGTGATGCCTCTGGATCGTACAAGGGCTTTGCTCGAAGGGTCTTCTTTGACGAGGTTGAGAATCTCCTCGAGCATGGCAGTGACCTTGGTATCGGCATCCTTGTCCGAGGGGCTCGCTGCGGGACGGGATTTGATTTCTTCCACAAGCTCTAAGAGTCGTTCCTCACCTTCTTTGGTTGCCATTTCACGCAATACCTTTTCGAGCAAGGCGAGGGCGGCCGAACCGTCGGAGATCGGTGAAGGTGACACGCATGAGTCCCGATCAAAGGCGAATGGATTAGGGCTGGGCATGCGAGGCACAGAGTAGCTTCTCTTCGACTGGGGAGAACTATCCGCATCCTTCGGGTTAGACCCATCTCCATACTTGAAGAGAGTACTGAAATCAAACCTTGCAGTATCTGTATCCAAATACTTGGTTTTCAGATGAGAAGACAGATCCTTGAGACTCTTGCGAATGTCCTCATCTCGGGCGTTGGTTGCGGCCTTCAGGCTTACCAGGTCCGTAGCATTATCCTTGCTACGTCGGCTAAGGTTCATCATCTCGCGTTGCAAGCTGCTTGCAATGTCCGTCAAGCTGTGAATTTGAGTCGAAAGAGAGTCCATGCTCGCAGTCTTGGGGGTCAAAGGTCTGGGTTCCATTGGCGCTGTAATCATTTTTGGGGGTTTGGAGGGAGAAGGAGGGTCGGAGTCTATGGGGAGTTGCATGTTTTGAAGAGCTAACATTGTAGCCGATGGCGGAGTGCTTTCTCCTAGGATGGGTTTGGATAAATATCGACTCGATAGGGAGTAGTTCATATCCCGCTCTGCGTCTTGACGAAGCGCTGGCGAGCTGGTTGGCTTGTTTGTGTCCCGTGGTTTTGTCGGATCAACAATCGTCGCGCGAAGAGGCCTCTCGGGGGACCGATTCTCGAGATAATTCATAAACTCGCTTCGCGCATCTTGTCTGGTATCTTCAGGTTGGAGAGATTGCATGCGCTTGTGCTGCCCCTTCACCAACGATCGCTCGGGTGATGAAGTCTTGGGTGGCATGGGATTTGTTGTATAGGAGCTGGGCGCATGCTCACTGGGCCGCTCTGTAAATTTCGCGGCGACGGCTTGAATATTGGGAGATACATTGGACCTCGTTGCAGCAGGGCTCATTGGGCTCATTGAACGAGGATTCATTGGCAGCGGCGGCGGTGCGCGTTCGGGATCCGAACTGTCCCACCTGCGTAGACCGCGTTTTAGCATTTGTTTGAAGTCACTCATGGGTCCTGTCAAGGGCAGGCGTGATGCGTCCTTTGCGCGAACTTACATTGGAACTTTGGAATCGGACAATGTCATAGAGTGTCGGACCAATTCCCGGTCACGGGGGGTGTCCCTGTCTTGGGAAGGCATGATGTAGTTGTGAATGGATTGTCAAGGTGTCTCAGACCGGTATTGACAATATTGACAGATGGAATGTAGGAGTATGCGTGCAAAGTCAAAATAGAAGCAAGGTCATCAAGGCATATCAACACAAGGGAGGAAACGCTGGAAGAACAAAGCAAAGGCAAACTGAGAACTCGATATACAATGAAGAAACACCGGGAGATCAGCTTGATGAAAGCAGGTAGAGTTGTCAAAGACAGGGAAGCTGCGCGGCCTTGTACACATCACTTGGGCCCATAGCAACGGCAACTACGACAATGTAAACAAACTGACTCAGCAGTTGGGCAGCATGGGGGCGGTGAGGCCCCGCGTTACATAATCACTGGTTGATCCGGGCCCAATGGGGAAACTACCCCCAAAAAGGCTAGTTGCCATTTGTCGGTAAGTCGGCCAATCAATTGTCAGCACACAAATCGCTACTGTGCCCTGAAACCCTCTACCTCACACCCGAAAAAACGAACACTTCGATCGTGACCGTTCCGTATCTCGACAACCACCCAACCTCGCCGCCCCGGGACCTTCAAAATGAAGTGTACGTCTCTACCATTACACCCTCGATCTATATGCTGATGGAATTACAGTCATGAAAGTTGGCCGTGTGGCCATCATCACCCGTGGCCGTTACGCCGGTAAGAAGGTACGACAAAGATCCTGATCCCCGAATTGAAAGCGCATGGAAAGAGAAACGACTTGCAAGCGAAGGACTCGAGAAGAAGCGAGCACAGTGCAACGTGGTGGAAAATAAAGCGCGACAGAAAAAAATTCAGAATGCTAATCAGGCATTTTCGGATTTACAGGTCGTCATTGTCCAGCCTAACGACTCTGGCTCCAAGGCGCACCCCTTCTCCTACGCCATCGTCGCCGGTATCGAGCGTTACCCTCTGAAGGTGACCCGCGGTATGGGCAAGAAGCTCGTCGACCGCCGCAGCCGCATCAAGCCTTTCATCAAGGTCGTCAACTACAACCACTTGATGCCCACCCGTTACACTCTCGAGCTCGAGGGTCTCAAGGGTACCGTCTCCAACGACACCTTCAAGGAGGTCTCCCAGCGCGAGGACGCCAAGAAGACCATCAAGAAGGCCCTTGAGGACCGGTACACCAGCGGAAAGAACCGTTGGTTCTTCACTCCCCTGCGTACGTTTACTCTGGATACACACTCACATCTCTGTTGGACGACTGCTAATACACAACAGGTTTCTAAACGGTTCATTTGGGCGTTTTGTCGTTTTGAGCGCACGGGTCTAGGTGAAGGCGAGGTCGAAAAACCATCGAGCACATTCGGTCCCTGCGAGCATGGGATGGGAAAACATACACCATAGCTGGAAACAGATTCGGGAATGTATCGATGAATTCCAGATTTAACGAGGGACGCCACTACAATACCTGGTGTCTGTCCGAATGAAATGGAAAATATGAACAATTATTTTCAAAATCAACGTTGTCTATTGCCTGTGAAATTTGGTCTACATGGATTCCGGTCAACATGGATGATGTAGAGGAGGTTCACTGCAACCACTGGCCTCCTCGTCCTTGCGATGGATATTTCGTATTCCATCTGCCGATGTAGTTCTCTTCACCTACCCCAGTGCCCTCACATTGGCAGTCATAGTCCTAATATATTTGGTTTGACCCCACACAAACTTCCCCAATATAGAACCTGACGATGATCGAATCTTGATCGTTTGGCTATTATTAGACGCAATTTCTGGCAACTGTCCAGAGGTCTAGGTCCATCAGCTCCATACTTCGATGCAATTGCTAGCCATTCCTCCACAGTTCATTCACGCAAGTCCACCCCACCCGCCAAGGTATTGCATATGATTCCGCAGCCCTTCGACCAACCCACGCATGATCTTCGATATGTTTCAACTCTATTTCTACGAGCACTGCTATCCGAATCTACTTTCAAATTCACATTCACAATGGAAACAATGACCCCTTTCATTCCTCTGCCAACAGACAAAGGTTACAATGTCATTCTCATGACAGACTTGAAAGAACACAAAGGGTCCTTCGTCTCCTCTGTCTTCTTGGTCTCCTATCCAGATCCAATATACAACAGAAAGGTATAAAAGAACCTCAACCACCACTAAAACAGAACATCACCAGTACATTCTGTCCGAAAACCTCAACCACCTCACAATCTCTATCCGGCAAGTATTATCTCCCCAATCATCTACCACGTAATCACAGCAGGATGGCGGAGGGCGAACCCACCCGCCGCCTGTCTACGATCAGCGAGACCTCCCAGGAAAGGGAACGACCTCGACCCGCAAACCAACCTCCCACGCGCAATTCTTCAAATGCCCGCGCGTTTCGAGATGCGCTGCGAGATCCACCACGACAACGGCGCCAATAACCCGGGCGCACTCGTTAACGTCGACAGATGGGTAAGCCCTGCCTATTTCATCTGGAAGCTGAGCGCAGCACAGGCTAACGCTTATAGTGAGCACTTCCGAAGTAGGTACTTTGACCTGCACCATCGTGCTACCTGGAACCGTATCGAGGCAGACCTGGAAGCCCTTGGAGATGGACCTGAACGACTCAACTACGCTTTTCCGGAGCCGCCCTACTCTCGCGCCACGGTGAGCTTGCGGCTCCTTAACCTGGTGGGGGGATTGGGTGTGACGTTCCGAGTTTGCACTGGTGCTACTGATCTGTACATCGACAAGGGCTTTGGGGAGATGTGGAAGTTTGTCACGAATGCTGACCCTGCTATCAGTGTTTTCTGGTGTTGGGATGTTTACCTGAGGGATGACAGTCCCTCGCCGGTCATCAGCCCTGAGCCTACACCTGCACCTCAGCCAAATAGTGCCACCCCTGAGACGGGTCCTACTCCTCGCCGTTCCCACGCCCGTACTGCTTTTGCGAACCTGTATTATTGTCTGCAGAACAATTCTTTGCGCTGCCGCTTTTCTCGTAAGTGAGAATGGCTTTCATGTTCTCGTAAGTAAGAATCATGATCTTCGACTCTTCAGTATCAATGAAGTTTGAAAGAAGCAAGAAAGTCTCCTAAATTGTCAATGGCCTGATTTTTTCTAGTGATATATTTTACTGCGTTCAAAAAAGGAGAAGAAAAAAGGCGGGGAGATCAAAGAAACCCCAAAAAAGATATACAATAGATAGACAAATAAAGTTTCATTTGTTCCGTCAATTGGTTCAATTCGAGTCCATCGTAGTGTAGTAGAAACCACCGCAGACTTCATAATTTTATATTTGGCATAATTCTAATGCACCCCAACACATCCAAGTAAGACAATAACCCAACACTATAAACCCCGAATCACATGATAAAAGAGAACAGACATAAGACAAACATAAAAGGCCGGCCTTTTATCCCGTCCTGTGGCGTGGTCTAGACAACCCCCAACGAAAACCATACATAACCTGCAACACCTAATGCAAATGTGTGGCATACCCCCGAAAAAAGCCCCTCTCTTAGCAAACATGTTGACGTGTAAGTTCACCCACCAAGGAGGCAAAATGGAACTGCAAGTGCAAGCGCAAGTGCAAGAAAACATCATAATCACGCCAATTGGCTTACTGCCTCTCCCATTGGCCGAACATACCCTGTCGATATGTTTGATAAGTTAAAGAGAGACGGTAACTTGATGTAACCTGTTGCTCCCAATTCATGTGATTCTGAGTTGGCAATCGAGGCAACACAATTTCACGTTCTCATATCTCATTTCATTATCAAGTTCATAGCTCATTCATTGCTCATAGCTCATATCTAGGCGAGTTTCGCATGTGAAACGGATGCGTTGGTTTTATTTTTGAAATGTAATGTGCGGATCACGGGCTTCCGGTATGCTTGTAAGGTTGTTCATATCCCTTTCTATGTACGGAGTACATGTACATGTACATCGATAGCCGAGCTCCAGTTTCTCACTTTCACCTGTCAGAGAGTACATGTAGAGGGGTATTCCAGGAGTAAAGTTGTGCCATTGGCCAATGGCGGGAGAGATGCCATATCATGCCTATATTATGAACATGGATATGATTACTAGGGTTCGAATACAGAAGTGATTCAGCATACAAGTTCGCCACATCTACGTCAAGGGACCACTGCACGACGTTTTGCATGTCACAACGGACCCACGGTGTGAGGTTCATTGATCGAGCTAGAGTGAGATTGACCAAATAAAGACGATGGAAAGGGTCCATGTAAGAACGCCGGTGAGAAGGTAGAATCACAGACTCGGGGTGGAAGCAAGAAAGACCCACGATGGAAGATCTGCATGGTAGCTTAATCGAGTGGATTGCCCGGCGGGATCCCGTTTTGATTCTAATTTCCCTTCGGCTTCACCATACGCCATGGTCTAGTATGCCGAGTCACGACTCGCCCTAGAGGGATTGAGCTTGTGCTTTTCCATGTGCTTCTGCACGTCCGTTGGGAAACTTGGAAATCCCTGATTTCCCCTGGTTGCACTGGACATCCCTATCGTTTTCTGTCTATTGCCATTGCGGTTGCCAGGCTTGTCTCGTAAGGCAATGCTACCTTGGAAACACAACAGGATATGGATATTTCAGACATGTCTAGCAAATTATGTTTATACGCACAGATCAATAGTATTGAACGCGACCGCTACAGGAATAAGCGCCGAATATCGGATGGATCTGCGAATCAACCGGGTCGTCAGTCGCACGTCCCCGGGCTGTCGGAAGAACAATCTCCAATCCGGCCAAGGTTTACGTATTTTCGGGGAAGAGAAAGAGAAGGGACGTGGGAGGGGGTTCGAAGGGCGCTCAGGCCGATGTGGGTACCTCACTAATGTAGGTGTTTGACTGCCCAGGCCTTTGGAGAGTCCAAACTCAATATGGGGTAGGTTGACCCCGATCGTTAGAGATAAGCACAAGGAACAAGGTTTTCTTTGCTAGTGAGTGACCCTTGCAAATACAACCAACATGTAGCACAGAGAGAATAACAGAACATAGATATCACCCTGATATCAATATCAAGAGATAGACATAGCCGCATCCGTCAAGTGGGACCGAATGCGTCAAACGTTGGACCCGCTATCACATGTGAAACAATTGATAGGAATTGCAAACCAATGGTGCAATACAGAGTATAGAATATGAGAGGTTAATAAAATGGAACTAGAAACTACAAACTAACCTAAGCTAAGCTAACAAAAAGAGGAAAAGTTTAAAAAAAGAAGGGAAAAACGAGACTTGGCGTGGGCAACGAGACCAGGCATATCGCACAGCGCTAAGGCCTATCACATGTGAAAATCCTATTCTCTACTATACTCCCATCTCTTCCAGTTCTTCCCTCTCTTCTCTTCTTCTTTCTCTTCCTCCCTCATCTCTCTCTGTCTACCATCTTGATGCCACACGCAGAAACCATGGGTGAACCCACCGTCAACGGCGAGAAGAATCACTCCCAATTCCTCGATGTAAGTATACCCTCTATCTCCCATATCTCCCGTATCGAGTCAGCCCACCAACATACCACATCGCTAGCATCTCATCTCCTACCCCATCATCTCGGACTCCATCACCTTCTACAAGGGCAATCCCTACGGAGCCAAGTCCATCCAGTATGCCGACAAGGGCTACACCCGCCTGGCCAAGCCCGTCCTGCCCTACTTCTCCACTCCCTACAGCTATGTAGCTCCCTACCTGGCCCGTGCCGATTCCCTCGGTGACAAGGGTCTGACCGAGATTGATACTCGCTTCCCCATTATCAAGGAGGATACCCAGAAGCTGCGCGGCTCTATCTACAACGGAGCTTCGATGCCCGTGCGCCTCGCTGGAGAGGTTAAGCACCATGTTTTTGACATCTATGGATCTGAGTATAAGAAGTGTGGTGGTGATGGTGTCTTTGCTTCCGGCAAGGCCGTTGTTACTACCAGTCTGGTCCTGTCGCAGGAGTCGTTGGCTTGGATTAGCACGTTCTTGCAGACTAAGAAGGAAGAGGTGAAAGAGGCTGTCAACGAGAAGAACAGCCATTGATTTTAGATTTTTTGTTTTCATTTTCTTGAAGCGTTTTTGTTTTCTTTTGATTGCTAGAGAAAATAATACCTTATTCTTGTATGCGTTCTAGTTTTATGTGTTCTGTTTCAGTTTCCAATTTCGAATTTCCAGATTTCCAGATTCCAATTTTATAACAGTCAATACATTGGCTTGAACAACCATTGCCTGACTTGCGTAGTAAATATCTGAAAGAAAAGAAATGCAAGGTTATACTCCGTAAAACACCCGAAACCACCCAAGATAAGCGCACAGACCACCTCCCGATAGGGTAAAATGATCTCGCGTCGCGTCTCACCTTCACTACAACCATGCCACGCAAAAGAGTAAGCACCCAAGATCATCCGTTTCAACCCCTCTATTTCTCAATTTAACCATAAAAACACAGACAAATCCCGACTCCCCAATGGGTCTCCCAACACCCCGCCGCCAAAGACAAAGCACATCCCCTCCGTTTCGGACAGCGAAGATGGCGGACCCAGCGCGCCCTCCAGCACAGACGCAATGGTCAAAAAGCTCGTGCGGCTAGTAATGGCCAGCGAATACTCGCGCCTGCCCATCCGGCGTACAGATATCAGCGCGAAAGTCCTAGGCGAGCAAGGCTCGCGCCAATTCAAGCTTGTTTTCGAGCAGGCGCAGAACGAGCTTAGACATCGATTTGGGATGGAGATGTCCGAGTTGCCGGCTAAGGAGAAAGTTACTATTTCTCAGCGACGGGGTGAGTTGAATGGGTCAAACAATACAATGCAATCCTTCCTACCGACTCCAGTCATCCACTTCCAAATCGATCTCGATTCATTTACTGACTGTGTTTATTCAAACAGCCGCCCAAAAAACCGAAAAACCTTCTAGTACCAATAAATCGTGGATCGTCACTAGCACATTACCACCTGCCTATCGAACACCCGCAATCCTACACCCGCCCAAGGCACCCTCAACCTGGACCGAGAGTACCTACACCGGTCTATACAGTTTCATTATTGCGGTGATAACGTTGAATGGGGGCACATTGGCAGAACAGAAACTGGACCGGTATCTGGCGCGTATGAACGCGGATGTTGGTACCCCGATTGACAGGACAGAGAAATTGCTGCAGAGGCTGTGCAAGGAGGGGTATTTGATCCGCACCCGTGAGATGGATGGCGGCGAAGAAGTTATTGAGTATATTGTTGGGCCGCGGGGTAAGGTTGAGGTCGGGAGTGGATCTGTCGCTGGGCTTGTTAGGGCTGTTTATGGGAAGGAGGGTGGTGGGGATGGGGATGAGGGGGAGATTGAGAGGATGGAACGGGAGGACTTTGAGGGGAGGCTGGGGAGGACGCTTGGGGCTCATATTGTGAGGAGGGAGAGTGGGCATGGGAATGAGGCGGAGGGTGCATCTCAGGTTCATGAAAATGAGGAGCGGGGAGGGAGACGGTCTACTCGGCAGGCTGAACGGGAGGATGAAGATGACGAGGATGATTCTGCTGAGGAGAGTGATTGATTCCTTCCCTTGCTCCCTTTCTGCTCTTCTTGGCTGCGCTGTGATGACATGGGATAGATACAGTTCTATCCGCAACGAGATACCCAAGATACATGTTAATCAAGCATTCAACACATATTCTTTGAACTTTCACCGAAACATTTAGTATGCATATTTCTCTCATCTATCTTCATCAGGTGAAATGCCAGTCACCCTACTCCTCGACTAAGGAATCGACTCGGTGACGCTCGTGTATAAGTCGCCTAAAGAATAAAGAATTTCTCTTCTATTGTGTGATAGACAAGCCAAGCGAAGTAGCATCCTTAGTTATTTCAGTCGTCGAACTATCAACTTGGATACAGATCTGGCTTTTTCCGGGCAACAGAGGGTTTGGGTCGCGAGTCAGCTGAGGGTGAGGGTTGTTAGTTTAGACATTCTGATAGATTGACTCAAGACAGAAGAACAAATACGCTTAGAATGAAGCAGTTCAGATAGATATCTCAAAATTAGTGTTCCGTTAATATAACGTTATGGACGCCAGTGCTCCACTAGCCCTAACAAGCTCGAATGTAACCTCAGGCCAAACTCAATTCCAACCACTTCATGAATCATCGAGTTGCCTTGTCAAGATAGAGTTTTTTTATAATTAAGAAAACACCCAGATAATATGGACTACCCTACTATCGCTCTCACAGGGAATTATAGGTACCATGGGGCACTTCGCGATAAAAGAGAACCAAGGCCGTCCCAAACGGTACTACAACAGAGTTGTTGGTACACAGCTCATTTTGATCGTCTTCTCGATATGGCTTTGTTATAAGACCGTTCTGAGCTGGAACGGTAAGTCGAGCAAACACCCAAGGAAACACCCAGGTAAAGGAAGTGAGTATCACGATCTACAAAACTTACAAGATATAACAACCAGCCTCTTCAAACACACCTCACCACCAAGAAACAACCCCCGAACCCAACCAAGACAACCAATTCACCCTAATCGAACACCTATCCCGAATAATCTACCTCCTCCCTGACGAAGAAGAAACAAAAGCCCTCCTCACACCCATCCAAACAACAGGTGAACAAAGACTCCATGACTACGCCCTCCGAACCCGCCAATACAAAACCCTCCTAGAAGCCTGGGAAGACCTACACATATTGAACAACCCAACAACAAAAGAACAAGACCCGACAATAAACACAGCCCTCCCGCAAACACTTCTAACAAGGCCATCAATCTCCCAAACCCTCCAAACAACCCCCTCATCCCTCCTCCACACCTACGAATCCTACCACTCAACCCTAACCCGCCTCCAATCCCTCCTCTTCCCCTGGACAAGCCCCTACTACCCATCCCACCTGCACCACCGGCACTCCCTGCACCACCCACCGCACTCCCAACAACGCCGCGGTCTAGTCTTCAGCGCAGGAACGCACCAACTCCCCTCCCTCCTAACAACAATCCCAGCACTGAGGAATCTAGGCTGCACCCTGCCCATAGAAATAATGTACCTCGGCAACGAAGACCTCTCCCCAGAAGCACGCGCAAGTCTCGAGGCCTTACCCGGTGTGATAACCCGCGATATACGCCTCCTCGTGTCCGACGCCGGGTGGGAATTAAAGGGATGGGCGGGGAAGCCGTTTGCGGTGTTACTGTCTTCCTTCCGGGAGGTTATATTCATCGACGCTGATGCGGTTTTCTTGGTTGATCCGAGTGTGTTGTTTGAAGATGGGGATTATAAGCGTACTGGTGCGCTGTTCTTTCGGGATCGGTTGATTATGCCTGAGAGTAAAAGGGCGTGGCTGGGGAGTATTCTTCCCAAGCCGGTTTCTGGGTTGGTTAGGGCTTCGACGCTTTGGAGTGGGGATAGTGGGAATATGCAGGAATCGGGGGTTCTGGTTATTGATACTTGGAGGCATTTCCTGGCGCTTAATTTTGTTTGTCGGATGAATGGGCCTGACCGGGATGGGGATGGGTGGGGTGTTAGGGGGTTTATGATATGCTTTTTGGTGAGTCTTTCCTTTTGCTTTGGGTTTTGAAGGTGGTCGGATTGTTGCTGATTGGTTTGATATGTATAGGTGACAAGGAGACTTTCTGGCTTGGCTGGGAGCTTGTCGGTGATACCGATTATGCGTTTCATAATGGTAGTGTTGGGACTATGGGATCTGTTCAGAGTAATGGTCCTACGCGCATGCGTGACTCCCAGGAATCTACTCCTGTTCATTCGGGGTCTGTTGAGGTCCCGTTACCGCGGCGTGAGCAGGCTGTTTTGAATACTCGACCGAAGGAGTATACTATCTGTGCCCCGCAGTTGCTTCATCTTGATTATTCTGGGAGACCTCTCTGGTTTAATGGGTGGCTGTTGCAGAATAAGTTTGCTGAGGCTGGGAGTGAGCAACCTGGGAAGTTTGAGGCTTTCGTGCATGAGGAACGGGGTGATGGTAAGGATGGTTCTTCGTGGGAGATTCATCCTAGTAATGTTTGTTGCTTGACGGCGAAGAAGGTGTCGAAGTTTGCCGAGGGGGAGTTGAAGGTTTTGAAGATGGTTGTTGGGATTGGGAGGAGGGTTGGTGCTTTTGGAGGGAACTAGTATTTGGATGCTGTGTGCGTTTTTCTCTAGATAATGTTTTAATATATTGTATAATATAGGTTCATAATGCACGGATTGGTCGTCGCGAGGAGTAGACTGTCAACACAATGTCCACTGATATATATCTGTAGTGGTTGATGAAGCAGCATGTACTGAAGGTAAGTAGCGATTAATAACCCAGAAACCAGGCTAGCACAATTCCCGAGAGTAATAGATCAAAAATGTATAGCATACTAGTTCAAATGGGTACTATATCACAACCCTACCGTATCCCCAACAAAGTAGATCGATCATGCCATCAAACCTACAACCACGATAACCTCGCAAGCTCAAATGTAATTCTACAAAGCAAGTTTAAAACTCCAGCATCCATATGTAGCCCAGAGCAAGACTACAAACAAAAAATCTGGACTATACTGTAGTAAAATTCTACATCGAATGTGGAAGCCGTCCTTACTGCTATCTCATGGCATATCGGGACCAGTGTGTTACCCCTCCTCCTGATCCGTAAGAACTGTATTGCAGGATAGAAATAGATTGTCCGAAGTGAATAGATAAATAAGTGTTACATGCAGATTCGATTGGATGTATATGAAAGAGGGGCGTTTCGATTATATTGGGGAGGCCGTGATGGTGCAGGTGGATGAATGGGGCGCGGGGTCATCGCACACAAATTGCCCGAGGAAAATCAGGGAAAGGTATCACCAGACACTCGTCTTTGGCTTTCCATGTACAAATTCAATACACTACAAGGGAATCAATCTACCATCTACTGTGAAAACTTTCTACCGTGAGGAAAATTGGAGACGAAAATGTATGTAGTCATTTAGCTAAACTACACGACGTCTAGCGATCCATAAAAATGTTTTTGAAAAAAAAATAAAATCATCACGGCATGTCCTGAATCATCCGAGAATCATTTATTTCTTACCAGCCTTGGCAGCGGCCTTGGTGACCTTGCCGGCACCGCCAGCGTTCTTCTCGACGGACTTGATGACACCGACAGCAACGGTCTGACGCATGTCACGGACGGCGAAACGACCGAGAGGGGGTAGTCGGTGAAGGCCTCAACACACATGGGCTTGGAGGGAACCATCTTGACGATAGCGGCATCACCGGACTTGATGAACTTGGGGGAGGTCTCAGTGGCCTTACCGGTACGGCGGTCAATCTTCTCGAGGAGCTCGGCGAACTTGCAAGCAATGTGGGCAGTGTGGCAGTCCAGAACGGGAGCGTATCCAGCGCCGACCTGACCGGGGTGGTTCAGGACGATGACCTGGGCGTTGAAGGAGTCACAGCCCATGGCGGGGTCGTTCTTGGAGTCGGAAGCGACGTTACCACGGCGAACCTCCTTGACGGAAACGTTCTTGACGTTGAAGCCGACGTTGTCACCGGGGTTACCGGCCTTGAGCTGCTGGTGGTGCATCTCGACGGACTTGACTTCAGTGGTCACGTTGGCGGGAGCAAAGGTGACGACCATGCCGGGGGTAATGATACCAGTCTCGACACGGCCGACGGGAACTGTGCCAATACCGGAGATCTTGTACACATCCTGGAGGGGCAGACGGAGGGGCTTGTTGGAGGGACGGACGGGGGTGTCGATGGCGTCAATAGCCTCGAGGAGGGTCTTTCCGGTGGACTTGCCGGACTTGGTCTCCTTCTCCCAACCCTTGTACCAGGGGCAGTTGGGGGAGGGCTCGAGCATGTTGTCGCCGTTGAAGCCGGAGATGGGGACGAAGGGAACGGACTTGGGGTTGTAGCCGACCTTCTTGATGAAGTTGGAGGTCTCCTTGACAATCTCGTTGTAACGGTCCTCGGACCACTTGCAGGTGTCCATCTTGTTGAGGGCAACGATGAGCTGCTTAACACCGAGGGTGAAGGCAAGCAGAGCGTGCTCACGGGTCTGGCCATCCTTGGAGATACCAGCCTCGAACTCACCAGTGCCGGAGGCGATGATGAGAATGGCGCAATCAGCCTGGGAGGTACCAGTGATCATGTTCTTGATGAAGTCACGGTGACCGGGGGCATCTGTGAGGTGGGTTAGCATCATGTTGGGATGAATCAAGCCGCCCGACCTTGATAGGCTAGAGGGACAAGGAGGGGTAGGGGAAGATTCTTACCGATGACGGTGACCTCATACTTGGCGGTCTGGAACTTCCAGAGGGCAATATCGATGGTGATACCACGCTCACGCTCGGCCTTGAGCTTGTCAAGAACCCAAGCGTACTTGAAGGAACCCTTACCGAGCTCGGCGGCTTCCTGTGATGGGGGTCAGCGTGGATGTGATGGAAGTGTGGAATGCACGAATTACCTTCTCGAACTTCTCGATGGTACGCTGGTCAATACCACCGCACTTGTAGATCAAGTGACCAGTGGTGGTAGACTTGCCGGAATCGACGTGGCCGATAACGACGATGTTGATGTGGGAACGCTCTTCCTTACCCATTTTGGCGGTTGAAACTTTTGTAGTTCTTTGGAAGATACTAGAAAGAGTCTGTAAAGATTGCTCAGAGACTACGGCAGAACGCGTAGAGGTACTGAGCAGAGATGATTAGAGAGATGAAAGAGAAAGGAATGAAAAAGCAGTAGGGGTGCAAGAAATACTCACTGTAGCAGACGGGGGAAAGAGAAAAAGTGTGTGGGAGGGGGAGGGGAAATCCTTATATGGAGGGGCAAGCGAGAGAGGCGAGTCAGCGGGGCTCAAGCCCTGTGTGGTTGAGGATGCTGATTGGCTGCCACAGTCAGCCGTGGACGCAGATTCTGCAAAGTGGGCTGTTCCAGGAAGTACTGGTACTTTCTCTACATACTATATTCAGAGTGTCTCAGTTGTACCTATACTTCCTCACTATCGTTCCCTGGTTCACTGCTCCACTCTACGAATTTTTCAACTCCCAATCCACTATCCTTAGTTACTGGGCAGCAACGCAGATTTGGGTGAGAATCTAATGGTTTGCATTGTTTACTTTGCGCTTTTTTCTTCCTGCGTGGCTGGTTTCCCGCCATATGGTCGTTTTTTTTTTTTTCCTTTGACCCCGCGATGAGGGGCAGTGTTTCACCGCCAACCTGCCCGCCATGTTATGCAGATGGGACTTTTGTATCTTTTCTTTTCTTTTTTTTTGCCACGGATGATTCATAGAAATTGATATCGCGCTCTACTATCTAATAACTAGGGGCAATTCCTACTGGAAATCCATGGATGTGATGTGTAAGCTGAACCGCCGAGAAAAAACAAAGAAAAAACTTAAAAAAAGCTATCCCAAAAGGGTTCCCGCAATCTGTGCATTGGATAGTGACGTCGATCAATTTGGGTATCTGGAATATCTTTTTGGTCCATATGCGCCATTTGCTCCAAAGAAATGCATAAAAAAAGAACAAAATAGAAAAGTAAAGCAAAACACACTGTCCCGTGTTGAGGCCCAACTCTAATTTTCTCTCCACCGAGCACCGCACGATGTACACTGAGCTGTCAGAACGGGTACCTCACACAAGCAAGGAGTACACATACCTTCAAGAATGTAGTCATAGGTTCATCTGCACTGCGAATCTGCAGCTGGAAGAAGTATGCACGTTCCCCGTTGCAGTTCTCTGCGGGGCATTGAGCTGTAAAAAAGATTTCCGTTAGCCTCTGTTCCTAGGTGTTCGTCTTGGGTTCGCCCTGGTCCCTATTGGGTCTGGCAAAAGTCCTCCAAGGTCCCTTTATAACTTACTGGCAACACTGTCAGCGTTGGCAAACTCCTCCTTGCCTCCAAAGACATCATCCACCTCCTTCTGCTTCATATCTGTCTTCTCAAACCATTGTTTGTCCAGCGGGGCTTCGAAGGGACAGGATCGGCATTCAAAGCGGTTGACACCCATCGGGAAGGCATTGCTTGAGTCAGCACGGGAGATGGTCAGCGCATTGCTGCAGTTGGGGCAGACTGGAAAGAAATGTCAGTTTCTGCAGACTCGCTGGATAGCGGCTCGGCGTGGGAGAGGAAACGTACAGATCAACATCTTGCCGGTGACAGCTAGAATCTGCAATGCGTAGTAGCAAGATCTCACTCAATAACTCGCCACACAGTCAATGGAACCAGGCTCACAGCTGTAGACCCAAGCGCAAAAGCATCACCGTCGATAATGCCGGATCTAGGCGCGCGGCTAATTCAGAGCGGGGTGCGGAAAATCTCTTGATCCGATCGGGCCGCGCGTGGGATGTTGTCCCTGGGGAACAACTCCCGAGAGTCCTGTAGATGATACACCAGGAGTGACTCTTTGATCCAACTACCCTGCTTGTATATATACCATTCTGCTCATCTGCAGATCACCCACACACCAACCATTCAGAACGCTTGACCCGCATCCCTTACATCTGAGCCCCCAACTGCTTGCATTACTCCCGGGTATACCGGACTAAATCATAGACAGAATGGCCGACGACGAGGTGAGTACTATTATCCAAGTAAATTCTGAATAATATTACTAACAGCTATGATGTAGGGCGCATCCCCCCGCGAGCTGGTCGTGGAGGCCTGCCGCCGTGACCAATTCCACCTGATTGAGCAAGTCCTGGGTGGCATGGAAGACAAGACAAACGAGCAAGTGGCAGAATTCTTCAACGGGGTCACAGACTCGATGGGCAACTACGCATTGCACATCTGTGCCCAGTACGGCAGCTGTACGTTGGCCCTCTCCGACATGCAAGTGGTACCGTTGGTGCCTACAGCCCTATATGTCTATATCCTACCGAACAGATAAAAGCCAACCAGAACTAACACCTCCTTGTCTTTAGGGGAGACAATGGACCACCTGTTCGACATCCAATACTTTGAATGCGACCCCAAAACCCGCCTGGACGAAGACACACCACTGCACATCGCAGTACGCTACGCCATCGAAAAAGACCCCGAGGTAGGCGCTCACATGGTCACAATGATGTGTGACGCTGGCTGTGATCCCCGCGTGCCCAATAAGCATGGCCAGAAGCCTGTTGATCTGGCCTTTAACAACAATGAGATTAAGGCGACTCTGCAGCAGGCTGCGTATATCATGGCCGAGGATCTGCACAATACCGATGGGGCTGGGTCAGATGGTGGGGAGCCCAGTGATAGTGATTAAGAGGCATATGGGGGCTGATGTCCTCTTAATGTGAGCATTTTCTCTCTTCTCCTGGTAGATGGTGTCTTGAGCTTTAGAGTTAGCCATATTCAGTTCTATGTTACGATTATCACGAATAAAGTTCAGTTTGTTATTAAACCATTGGCTTATTGCTTCCATGGGTCATGGTGTATCGAGGTATCTTATAGCCTGTACAAAGAATGAGGGATACCAAAGCAAAGCTATGCGATTCATCTATTGCCAGGATATCTAGACTACCGCATACTAACAAGCTTCCCCACCTGATCCAGCCACTTACGAGAGAATTCCTCCTCAGTAAACCGGCGCGCCGAACGGCGAGCCCGTTGGCGCATGGCAATCTTCTCCGCCTCCGGAAGAGCAAGAGCAGCCTCAAAGGAAGCAGCAAACTGCTCCTCTGTTTCAGCTCGGAAGCCCGTAGCACCATCGCCGAGGTCAATGACGATGTCTTCGCGAGGACCGCCCGAGTCGTGGGTTACGCAAATGAGACCTGCGGCTTGGTACTCGACGACACAGATGCCGAAATGCTCATTCCACATGGCGTTGACGCCGACGGAGGCGGTGCCGAGATGGGTCAGCACAGCTGGCCATGGGGCGTCGCATAGGAATGTGGTTTGGTCGCGGATGCGGAGTTCGTGCGCTAGCAGCCGCAGGTTATAGATGTGTGTTTCGTCTGGACTGGCGTGGCGGACTGATCCGATCAGTACGAGGCGTGGCTCGGGTTGGCCCGCGCAGGCTGGGTTGTTGGCTCGTTCTTGTAGGAAACGTGCAAAGGACCGCAAAACCAGGGGGTGGTTCTTCTCCGGCCGGAATTGCGCGATGTAGAGTAGCACGGGCTGTCGGGTTTTCTCGCTCTCTGCGTCAACGGCGATGGTTGATTCCAGTTCTGACACTGCGGTTGGGGGGAACACCACCGCCGGCGATGATGCTGTCCCCTCGCCGCTGCCAGTGTCCTTGTTGCCGCTTCCCCAGAGCGAGCGGATATGCGCTGCTGTCCAGGACGAGTTGCACATGACCACGTCGATCTGCTGGCCTACCCAGCCATACAGTCTTGCGAACAGCTGCCAGTATCGGCGCTTGATCTTGCCCTTCCAACCCTTTCCGGCGCCAGAGTTAATACCTTGCACTCCGCTCTGGTCGTCGAGCGAGGCAAGCATATCGGTTGAAATCGTCGGGTAGTGGACGTATGCGCCAACAGGCACTGTGGGAAAGAGCCACTTGCACAGCGCAAGGGTAAAGGCATAGCCCATAGTATCGATAAATATATCTGGTACGAGGAGTGTGAAGGCATCGTAGGCAACAATTAGTGACCCGAGCGACTGTCCCAGCAGCGTCATATATGGATATGAGCTGCTCACAACATACTTGCGGGTTGTCAAGTACAGAAGCACGACTGTCGGCGCATGAAGCTGAATGTTGAACCGGTTCTCTACCTTCTCTAGCATGGTGGCCTTGTTGACTTCATGGTCACCTGTATAGATGGCACAAATGGCCTTTGGCCAGCGCTTCTGTGTTGCACGAACTGCTTCCCAAAGCACTCGTTCTCCACCTCCGCCGGCATTACTGTTATTCGATCAGCACTTGCATTTACATGTTGTGGAGAGTGGCCATACCAGAATGGGTGGAAGAACCCAATAATCCCATCCCAGTCATCCGAGTTCCTATCCTTGTTTCCTCCAGCACCATCACTGCTCTTACTGCTAGTCGCAGTCTGTACCCCGCCAGGGCCTAAGCTGTCCACCTTCTCCCAGTCCTCGTCATCGGCGCCGTTCCGCGATAGTGAGTTTGTTGACACCTTTGGCCGCGGGGCGCGGGACTCCTGCTCTTCAGATCGCGCCCGCGCGATCACGTATTCGCGGCGAGACCGCGTTCGCCTCCAGATCAGCCATCCCACTCCCCGAAATACCAGACCGAGCACAGCGCCTGTTAGCTTCGGAAGCAGGACGGCTGTGGCGGTGAGAAGCAGGACAGCGAGAATGGCGTTGGATATGAGGGCCATGATGTAAAGGCGATAGTCGAGAGGATCTCACCAGAGATCACACATAGTAAAAGTTTTGAGAAGCTAGAAATCTGATCAGAAATGCTTCCCCCTCTCTTGTCAACAAGTTGATCAGTCGGGCGGCGTAACTTACATACGCGTCACATGACAAACGTTTGATCTCCAACTCTGCCCCAAAAGCTTCAACATTCTTTGTATTGGTTGCTCAGCCCACTATGTTTACCCTTCGTTCAGCCTCGTCTCTGCACTCAGTCCCACGAGCCGTTCGATTGCCTCGCCCACAGATTCGACACTTCCATCCGACCAAACCAGCCTCTTTCTCCGTGATCAATCTTGCTTTAGACACCTCCAGCGCATTCATTCACGGTGTACACACTGTAACCTTCCTGCCATGGGTCCTCTCAATTCCCCTTACAGCCGTGATCGTCCGTACATTCATTGCATTCCCCCTCCAAATATTCACAAAGTTCCATGCATCCCGAGAAAAGCGCCTACAACCACTTCTACAATCATGGGCCGTCCAGATTCAAGAGAAGACACGCATGATGCCCAATGTCTTGGAGGCTAAACAAGCTTTCGAAGCCCTTATGAAAAAACGGACCAAGGAGCTCCACCGACGCTGGGGAATCAGCACAACCTACCGACCCGTCACGATCCTACAGCTCCCCGTCTTCTTAACGCTGATGGAGAGTCTGCGCGGCATGTGCGGTAACAACAATGGTATTCTTCTCTGGATACTATCACGCTGGGAGGGATCCATGGATCCTGCCCAAGCATCCGAGTCTCTGCATCTTACCATCGAACCCAGTCTCGCAGCAGAGGGCGCGCTCTGGTTCCCGGATTTGTTGGCTGGTGACTCGACGGGTATACTGCCGGTCATCCTGACAGCTTCTATTCTGCACAATGTCACAGCTAATTGGAAGAAGAAGTCCTTTCAGTCTGTGTCTGACCTGCCCAGTTTGCAGATGTACAAGGAGACTTCTTTCATTGGTCTGCGGTACTTTATTCAGGTTATGGCTGTTTATGTTGGTGCTGCGAGCTTTTTCTCCCAGATGCCTGTTGCTCTTATGCTCTACTGGATTACGAGTACGAATACTGCTACGTTGCAATCTTGGTATTTGGAGAATAGGGTCTTCAATGAGAGGAAGCTCAAAACATTTGAGAAGAAATACATCGCGTTCGAGAAGAAGGGTGTGGAGGATCCTTTCCAGTTGAAGAACTTGCGCTGATTCTTTCGGCGGCGGTCTTCTTGAGGAATATGCGGTCTCCTCTACGCCAGTGTCGATGGTAGCTCGAGCTCTGCTCGAAGGATACTCTGGGTTCGCCAGCACGTTGGTGTTGCTAAAACTTTGGTGAACCTCCACGCTGTGCTCTGTGATATCATTTTAAAGCCTCATACCCTTGCATCACTTGCTCAAGACTTACTCCGGCTCTTAAACAAAAGCTAATGCCTCAATGTGCGCGTCCAGGCCCGGAACTGGCTGGCCCAACGCGGACTGGATACGTACGAATTTCTTTCAAAAAGCGCAAGATACCTGTGGACATAATGCATCGATTTGTTTTGAAAGTGTAAATCAACACGGACAACGCTTGACGTGCATCTTCCCATTCATACTTCTACCTACATTCATGTACAATATTACCATACGCACATAGCACCGGTTCAACCTCCACAGTTTTAAGGAAAAGTAAGTGATAAGATTAAAGAAAACTTAATTCCTGATATCTATCGGCCTGCTGTAAATTCAACGGTACCACGCCAAAGACAGCCTAGGGCTGCTGTAGATCGCAAAGCATATTGAAAAGCCCACCATTCATAATAGAATGCCCCGAAAAAGAGAAGATAAAAGAAATGCCTAAAGCTTAGACTTGACAGGCTCTTCTGGAGCAGTCGCCTCCTGGTTGACCTCAACTGTACGTGAATCAGGGCCCTGGCCGAAGAAGATGACTTCGACGGTGACATCGTCACTAAAAAGGGATATTAGCAAAGGTTTCAGAGAAACCCCAACGAAGAGAATATTGCTCACCGGTATCGGCGGGAGTAGGGACTGGGTAGCGTCAACAACGCACAAACCATGTCCTTATCCTTTCCGCCCATGGCGTTCCGCACAAGATGCGTGGCTGCGTTCTTGTCCTCGACAACAAAACGGCTAGCGGCGCCAGAGATATCGTATTGCTGTTGGCGGATAGGACGGCGCTGGCCTTCACCCGATGCATCAGCTGTGGATTCCACGGGCAGTTGCTTTTGGCTGTCAAATCCGAACCAACTCTGCAGCCAGGTTTTGCTGGTACCAGTGCTGACAGCAGCAGATTGTTGCTGCTCAATCCACTGGCCAACCAAACCGACAACTTCTTCGTTGCTCAGCATCTCCCATAGACCATCAGTTGCCATGACGATGAAGTCGCCCTTGGAGGGATCGACCTTGGTAGTGGTGATGATAGGCTCGGCGGTAACGTAGGGAGGCGTCTTCAGCAGAGGGTGAGGAGTACGTCCGAAGAACTTTCCCTTGATCTGATCTTGGATTTCCCTGGTCCACTTGTAGGCAGCGTCACCGAAGGAACGGCTAGGTTCAAGCTGGCCGAGGATGCGGCCATTCTTAGTAGCATATGGCTCGCCGGGGTGCTCTTCACGAATACGCTTCATCTCCGATGGTGTTCCACCGGTCTGGTCCTCGGAAAGAGCTGTAGCAGTCCACTTGCCGCTAGGTCCACGACGGCCTAGAACTGCACGCGAGTCACCTGCAACAGCAACCTTGACGTCCTTGGATTGGGAGTCGTAGAAGCTGAGAAGGGCACATGAGCCAGAGAGAGCAGGAGCAAGGAGCTCAGCGGCAACTCGTCGCGACTTGGCCTTGAAGACTTCCTTGACACTCTCGTTCACAATGTCATTGTCGAGACGGACAAAGCCTTGCTTGATAGCAGCATCCACAGCCTCGGACGAGGGAACCAGAAGCGAGGTGTCTGCAGCAGCAGCCTTGTATGTAGTGTTTAATTCACGGGCAACGTATGAGATCAAAACATTGCGCAGCTTAGCGGACGTTGTCCAGCCCCTAGTTCATAGTAAGTTTCGCGAGTTCCAATAAAGCATGAATATAACATACGAGTGTCCATCAAATACTGCCCAGAACATCCAATCACTGCTTGGCTCGCCATCCTTGACTGCAGCCACGGAAGCTGGAATCTCGACGATCTTCTCCGCGTGGTCATCCTCAATGGGCGAGTTGCTGGGAACCTGAACGATATCGTAGCGAACAACGCCCTTGCCTCGGTTGACCAAGTATGACTCCTCGTTCTTGCGAAGCTTCTGGGTTGCTTGCTCTGGTGTCAACATCTCGAGGACTCCGCGATCCGAATCGTCAGTGGTCTTTGCAAGCGGCTGGTCCCCGGAAAGTGCAGCGGTATAGAATTGGTCGTTGCTAACCAGCAGCGCACGGCGCGCAGGTTCGGCTGGGTCTTCCGCGTAGGCGGAGTTTAGGGCACTCGAGGCAAAGCTTCGGAACTGGGATGCTGCCGACTTAACAGTGTCACCCTGATACGCATACCATGCCCCGGAGGCGACGACGGTCGAGATAACGGCAAGGGAGAGATTGCGGCGATGCATCGATGACTGAATTGCTGCTGGGAAGTATGAACGCTTGCTGCCAGAGTATGACCGAAGACTTCGCAGCTGGTTGTGAGTGAAGGACAATGGGGACGGCCGCTTAACGGATACGTTCCATACCGGTGCACGCCGAGCAGTACGGCAGGCCTGAACTGTCGCCCGACGCATTGATTTGGTGGGTAAGTTAGCGGCTGAAGAATCTCCTTGCCCTTTGCAAGGGAAATAACAGCTCTAAAACTGTATGCAGAGGAAGCTTCACAAGGAGCTGGGGTGTTTGATATGGTGTCACGTGTTGAGGTTATCCAGGTACTGCGCTAGTCCCGATGTAGATGTGTCGTCATTCCCCGCGGATTTGCTGCGGTTCGCTTTCACCTGCGGATTTTTCCTTTCCAGTGTCCACAGGCCTTGGCCTCAGTGAGCAAGAATGTCTTCACGCGCGATTCGGAAATTGCAAAAACTTCGCGATCTGGAACAGCAGCAAGATTCCGAGAATCAAGATGAGTCAAGCGAAGATGAAGCCCCGCGCCCCGCGGAGCCCAAGTTCAATGCTTTTGATCTGTTGAACGCCGAAGATGAGAATGAAGATGAGGAGGGAGAGGAAGAAGAACAAAAGGAAGAGGAGAATGTTGAGCAATCAAAGCCTGAGCCTGCCCCGACGAAGCCCAAAAAGGCCAACAAGAAAAAGAAGAAGAAGAAGGCAGCCAAACCCTCCGAACCGGCCGACACTCCACCCAAATCCAATGAGGCAGACCTGGATGAGATCGATCGAGCTCTCAAGGAACTATCAACAGGTGGACAATCGTCAGTCGGTGCAGATCTTTCAACTGCTTCCAGAGACGTCCGCGGAGCCTCTTTCCCCAAAACCACCAATCAATTACTCGGTATCGAACCCAAATTCCTCAATGCGACAAATGAGATGCGCCGCCTCTTTGGAAACGTTGTTCTGGAAAACTTCGATTCACCAGCCGATAGTGGAACAGGCCGCCGCCGGGATCGCAATCGAGAGATGGTCGATCTCGCCCAGGCCTTGACAGGAAGATACAGTCCAGCCAGCAGAGGTCAGAGTCTAGGTGGAGTTACATTGCGACGGAACGTTCTCATGCAAGGCAAAGATGAATGGCCTCGTGCTCCGAGTGGAGGACTCGGCATGGAGACAGTAGAGAAACTTCCTGCAGGAGAAACACTCTACCGACTTGTGCATAATACCGCCTATCAGGATGTACAAAGGCAGTTTGAGCTCTGTGTCGAGTCAATGGACCCTCAGAGACTCATTGGACACCTCCAATACAATCCTTATCACATTTCCACGCTTCTCCAGGTGTCAGAGATTGCCAAACACCAAGGCGATCACGCTGTGTCTGCCGATCTGATGGAAAGAGCACTCTTTAATATCGGACGGTCAGTGCACTCTTCTTTTGCCAACCGCCTCAAGGAAGGCGAAGCCAGACTTGACTTTATTCATGCCGAGAACCGAGAGCTCTGGCTTGTGGGTTGGAGGTACATCTCCAACCTCGGGATGAAGGGAACGTGGAGAACCGCCTATGAATGGGCCAAGTTGCTCCTCAGTCTTGATGACAGTGATCCATACTGTATGAAGCTACTCATTGACCACCTCGCTCTTAGAGGCAGAGAGTACGCACAGTTCGTGGATCTATGTACGCAGACACGCTTCAGTCGAGACTGGGCCGATCTCCCCAACATTCAATGCTCGCTGGTTATGGCATATCTACGGCTGAATAAGCCCCATGACTGTCGCCGGCAGCTCTCTCTCGCCATGTCCCGCTACCCGTGGATATTCAACAGGCTGGCACAAGAACTTGACCTCCAGCACATCCCCAAGCAAATCTGGGGCAAGATGCCTCCCACAGGTTCTCATGAGCTTTTCACTGAACTCTACATTGCCCGTGCAAAGGATCTCTGGAACACACCAGAAGCAGTCTCTCTCATCATGGAAGTGGCAGACACCCTCTCCGATAAAGATGAGCCCGTCGAATCACCAGAGATCACCCTGGACATTGCCCGTCATGTAGTCCTGTCTGATCTCCCCAAGGTGACAACCCACCTGCCAAGCCACTTTGTGGCCGGTCGATTGTCAGCCTCCGACCCTCTTCCGCCGTATGACTCTGAAGCCTACCGTCAGCAATCCGAGCCTACTCCCGTCTACGCAGCTCCTACTGGCGGTGGCGAGAATTGGTTACAAGACCTCCTGGGTCAGATCAATGGCGCTGGTCTGCGTCTTCCGGTGGAAGACGAACTACCCCGGAACCAAGGCATCGACGATGAACCAGAGGAAGAGCTTGATATGCCACGCTCTCGCCCTCCGCTTGGTGATCCCTCGGCTCTTGAGCTATGGCTCTCGCGTGAGGGCTTCCAGTCTCTCCGGATCTTCTTGAACCAGTATGGCGTTGACCGTGGCAACTGGAGTGAAAATGTCCTGGACTATGCACCGTTGACCAACTATCTAGAGGCAATGGTGATGATCTCAACGACAGCTCGCCAGCAGTTGTTGGATGGTATTATCAAGGATTCTCTTGGTGATTTCGTTGTCAGTATGCTCGAAGATGAGATCGCAATGATGCTAGATGGGGATTCGGACTCATGAAAACCTATATTATAAGCCAGGTACATTAGAAAACAATACCGATAGCAGTGTATCAACTCTGTATCTACTATCAATTCTTGTTTTGAGCTGCTTTTGGGCAACTAGATATGTATTGGTGATTTTCTTGACACTCGTAATGGAGAACGAGCCTCGAGGCTGTTCTTCATAAAACATATATATCTAGCCGCTAGGAGCGTAACAGCGAGCTTCGAGCATTACAGGCTTACACGAATAGACAACTAAATATATATATTTTGAAAGTTAACAGAGCAATACCAGCACTGGCAGAATACAGACACTATACAATATTGCCAAATCAAGCATCTCAGGTAGGATTGTAGCACAGCCTGCATGATGCTATTGACGAGTATCTCATTGGTAGAGACCCCCGAGTTTTGCATGGTTCATGCGCATCATCCCGCACTGACAGGCTGACTCAGCTGGCATCGTTTCAAATTCTTGCAAGTTTTTTTTTTCTTCGTTACTTTGCATGAAATGAAATATCATTTAGATATCGATCATTCATAGTCTTGGAGCTATTTGCGACCTTCAGACTTCACAGTTATCCCCCCTACATGTGCAGTGCTGGGACTACCCCGGGAGTGGCCCAGATTGTGTCATAGTCTTATCTCTCCCGCGCAGAGTTCTCTCTCCTCCAACACCCCGAGTCACACAAAATGACGGTACTCACCATGGGACACGAGTCTATACCCCTGACAGCCCGCGAAGCTGCATCCGGTCTATTGGGATCAGTGTCCATGACCTGCTGGATTTTCCTCCTGGTATGTGCGATCCGCGCAGAGCATGCGATAAAGCAGACCCGCACCTGAGATCCATACAGCGACGGACCAATACCTAACAAAGTGAACCCAGGTCCCCCAGCTAATTGAAAACTACCGCAATGGCAACGCCGAAGCCATCTCTCTCCTCTTCGTCTTCGTCTGGTTCGTCGGTGACGTCGCAAACCTCGCAGGCGGTCTCCTAGCAGGTCTCGTCCCCGTGATCGTCGCTATCGCAGTCTACTTCTGCATCGCAGACGGCGTGCTCATAGCACAATGTCTATACTATAAGGCGCGCAACTCCCGTCGCGGAATTGTTCACCGCCGACGCTCGTCCACCGAGACCCCGGACCCTACTACCCCGCTCTTGGGCCGGCGCTTCAGTGATTCACTTGGACCTAATGAGTCGCGGCGTCGGTCTTCTGGATCGCTGCGTGGTCGTCAGGTTATTGGCCGGCGCGAGAGCCAGGTTGAAGATACCTTGGCCAAAATAGTTGAGGAGAATGACTACGGCCGTAAGGCGTGGATTAAGAATTTTGCAAGCGTTATTGGTATTTTCCTTATTGGTATGGCCGGTTGGACTATTGCCTGGCAAACAGGCATGTGGGCGCCGGCGCCGCAGGAGAATCACAATGGTCCTGAGGAGGCTACTAGTGGCTTGGTGCTAGGTTATTTCAGCGCTGTCTGTTATCTGGGGTGAGTTTAATTTTGTCATTGGAGAGTGAGAGATTGTTATTAACTTTCTTCTTTGCAGAGCGAGACTGCCTCAGATCTACAAAAACTACAGCGAAAAGTCTTGTGAAGGTATTTCATTCGTTCCTTGAACTATCTGGGACAGATATTAACATTTCTTTCAGGTCTATCACTCTTATTCTTCATTCTCTCTCTCCTGGGCAACTTGACATATGGCGCAGGCGTAAGTCTTACCCAATTTCGTCCCACACCCGGAAAGACAGTCGCTAACAATGGATATAGATCCTCTGCCATTCTACAGAGAAGGAATACTTCCTCACAAACCTCCCATGGCTGATTGGTTCCTTGGGAACAATGGTCGAAGATGTGGTCATCTTCATTCAATTCCGTATCTACGCCCCCCAGGACCTGCGTCAGTCGGCGGTTTCATAGTTCTGGACTTTTGTATGTTGGTTTCTTTTTCTTTCAACCATAGCGACGCTGTCTGATAATATACTGTCAAATGCGAAATCGAATTTTGTGCCATTCAGCTTTGGATGTGAATTATTTACCTGGATTCAATGGTGTTAGACCGAGATGGCCGTAGTATGGCCTCTTTTACTGTAAACAACTGTTGAGTGTTGAGAGTATGTGTATTCTGTGTGAAAGCAAACAGTACTCAATCAAATCAAAGACCTGCCAGACCTTTTAAGAGCCTTGGAAATGTAAAAACATAGCCAAGGGTCGAGAGCTGTACCTCACAGCCCAAGATAACCAAACGAAAGACAAAGGCAAACAGCCACAAAGTTACATAGGCCGTATAGCTGACCGAGGACACAAGAGCCGTGCTTGAGGGTCCGTGATTTACAGCCCTGAGTATCAGTGCACAAGCTCCACATCGACGATCACCACAGCCTTAAACCAAAAGTCTACACTACACAAGCACTCCATATAAGAATCAGACGGCATTCGTTGGTTCATGGTCGCATACAGACATAGCATGAGAGCCGAGCAGAACTAAGCTAGCAGGTCTGTGGAGCACGAGAAAACGCATACATCTACCCATACCAAATCATACGAGTTGGTCATGGACAAATCCGAAAGTGTGCCAAACGTCTTTCTTCAATTCCCCTATAATCCTGGAAGCAACAATAGTTTCGGAGTCGCAACGGTATCCGATCGAGTCTACCTCGGCCACATTATGACACGGAGGCACACCGAGCACCCAGTCTCCATTGAATGTCCTTGTCCGTTTGAATTCTTTTGCTAATTTTCTTTTTTTCTTCCCCGGGTTCTAGGTCTTCGTAGCGGGGGTCGTGGAGTATCGAGTACAAGAGAGAATCGTCGAGGGAGCCGCGAAGCGGCAGCGGGAAAAGAGGCGTGGGATAGAGAAAAAAGGAAACGAGTTCAAATTCGATACGGAAGTGATACGCTTAGTCGAAGAGACCGAAGCCCATGTCCTCATCGGACTCCTCCTTGTCTGTAATGGGATTAGCATTCCTGACTTTGAGTGTGGGTTGCATTGTCCATGCTTACCCTCTTCCTTCTCCTCCTTCTTCTCCTCGGCAGCGGGGGCAGCGCCACCGGCAGCGGCAGGGGCGGCAGCGGCGGGGCCAGCGGAGCCAACGTTGGTCAGGAGCTCCTTGATGTCCTTGCCCTCGAGAGCCTATAGAATGCAAATCGCGTAAGTCACCGCATCTCAAATTGTCGCGCGCGGCCATCGGTTGTTGCGATATTGGCGCGGAATATGGCATAGGTTCAGGTATTTACCTTGGCGAAGATGGAAGCCCAGATGGGCTCAACCTCGGGAACCTTGGCGGCACCAATGAGGGTCTGGATCTTGTCGGCCTGGTTAAAGATTCGAGGTCAGTTATTGTTGCTGTAGTGTTGACCCAAATATAGCTTTGCTGCAGCTTTTTGCGTTCCTCCATGGTTCATTTTCACACACGAAATCGAGTTTCATATGTAATCTTGAACCCTTGAATGTTCCAAAGATCTCAAGGAATTTTGGATACGTACGGAGACCTCAATACCGTCATCGGCCAGGATGAGGGCGGCGTAAGAGCAGGCGAGCTCGGCGGTAGACATTTTGTCGACGGGTGGTGTTGACCGGACTGGGTGTCTTGAAGAGAGTTGGGGATGAGAAAGAAGAAGAGAGGAGAACGCCAATGATAGACACCCGAACAGGGCAAACGCGCCGTGTGTGGGAAAAAGCCCTCGCTTAGGGCTTGGACTAATCGGGACTAGCCCCTTCCCCTCCTCGTAACTTGGTAGAGTAGGACTGTCAGGTGACCTCTGAAAACTGTCACATGATGTCTACTCTTCTTATTGGTTGCTTAAATTACTAGCTGTAAGTCTCTTTCAGAGTATTTTAGTTACATAAGTGTATATACAATGCCACTGATAACGTATTGGATAGTCTCTACACAAGCTTCGAAGCAAGTATACCGATTCATTTATTGTATTTGTCCTACTTTGGCCTTCCTTCTTTACCTCTTCTTTGTCCATTTTCGAGCGCCTCGAACTGCTGTACTCACATTACATGTACCCACACTTGGCAAAGCCAGGTCATGTGACCTTAGCTCTGTGATCACCTGACAGCCGCGGGGACGTCTACAGTCGTGACTTAGCGCTAAACCGCAAACAGCAATGCTGACATAATCCCGTATCTCCGCTCGGTATCAGCTACTATCAGTCCGTTCATCAATTGACATCACATCCCGGTGGGGTTCGAACGTACCATTCTTCTCGTTTGTCTTCATTTTCAGAGCTATATTGCTCATCGGTCTACATCCGTGCTTCCACTGCTATTCCGAACCTTCCTACCCACGTTTATCTCCATGGAGTCCCCCGCTATCCCGGTCCCGCTGGATCCGCGGGAACAGCCCATCCTCGAACGCCTGCTCCGAACCCGCGATGCACTTCTCCTCATCAAGCAGGACAAGTCCTCTTACATCAAGTCTCGTGATGTATTGCCGCTTTACGAGGAGGTCATTGCGGAGGTTGAGAAGCTCAATGCTGCCCGCAAAGAACCAGAGCGCCGCTTGGTACACAACCGTCGTGAGTCTTGGTATACGCGCAGTCGCTTTGGAAGGTAGCTGACATGTGGTGATAGTGGACTATGTCTTGGATGATTGTTTCCAGTTGATCTCACTCCTGTTTTTGACAGTTGGGCGGAACAATGAAGCTCCCGCAGTGTAAGATCTAGCGCCTTCTACCCCGCCATATTCAAATAACTGACACCTGGCTAGCTACTCTTTGGCGACTACTATCCAGGTATGTAATCCTAAGCTTTTCACGGGTTTGGATGATGTCTGCGATCTTGATATTGACTTGTTGCAGCGTTTGCTTGACCACCTCAACGAGGCTGGATTCTACAGCTCGAAAGACTTGAACTCGATCACCAAGACCCTGGAGTCTACACGGGAAACTCTCGAACGTGGCCGCGATACCTATTCTCCAGCTCTCCTCACGCTTTTGGAGAGCCGTCTGGAACAATGTGAAGCTTCTCTAGAGAAGTTGCAGGAAGGCCTTGCCGTTCTGGCTCCTTCCTTGGTACAGACACACGAGACCTTGGTCTCAATTTTGCGGTCAACATCCGCTGTTAACACTAGATCGAAGGTTTGTTCTCGAGGTCTCTTATTATCTAAATCGACATTTACTGATGTTTTGATTGTTTATAGTTCTCAGCCTCCGAAGTGAACAATCTTCGTGAACAGCTGAAGAAGATCGAAAAGGGAACAAAAGATGGCAACTTTGTGGATGCCGAAGGAAATATTCTTGCCGGACAAGACCGTCTTAAGTCTTTGATGCATCGCTGTTGGCGGTGGACCGAAATCGTCTTGGAGCGGTATGTTGGAGATATTATCAGGATGAAAGGACAGCTGCTGACTCGAAATAGAGAGGGAAAAATCGATGAGCGTTTCCGAGAGCAATACGAGCGATTGCTGGAAATCCGTAACCAACTGGATCGTCTGTCCGTTACCCAGGCTTGGTCATTGCGCGAGACAGATCTGTTCGGATACCAGCGCAAACTCGACCGAATTGATGAGGCACGGGTTAATGGAAACTTTGTCGATGCTGAGGGTCAGCCTGCCGACCTTCATGCGCAGCGGGTAGGAAAATTCATGCTTCAGCTATCCTTTGTATCGACCTGGCTAACTGATATTAGACATTGTTGTACCTCATTCGCCGCAGCTATGCATACATTTATGCGCTTCTCATTTCATCAGAGCCTGTATCTGAAGCTCTTCTTCCAGTCTACAACCAACTTCAGACTCTTCGTCGGTGCTTAATTGAGGTCAAGGAGTCTGGTGGTGTCGCTAATTCCCGCGAACTATATCCATACAGCATGAAGGTACTTATCCACCTATGGTCTTCTTCTACATCCGCTAACTAGAACAGCTCAACTCAATTGACAACATGCGCGTTGACGGTAAATTCTACGTGGGACCCGATATCCCAGAAGGCCAAGGCAGTGTGAACAACCTGCTCGCCGAATGTTACGATTTAGTCTGGGAACTTCGCGCCGCGGTGGTCGCCGAGGAAGAACACTCCTAGATCTAGCAAGCCTTCTGGCTGATTTACACCTTTCTCTTTCTATCCATCTGTTTTACTTTGTTTCCAGTATTCCATGAATGGTTGGTCATGGATCTCCTTGGCATACAGTGGTCTTTGATAGTACGATCAGAGTCGCATGTCTTCTCTTGTTATGTTACGATAGGCGTTTGAGATGGTGGCTGGTTGGGCCGATTATGGCATTGGCATTGTCTTGGGGATTGGGATACTTTGTATCCTTGTGTTTCTACTTCGAGCTTAATGGACCCTGTTAATGATGCTTTACCTGAATTTTGATTCATCTCTTTCAGGATCTAAAGAACAAGCTATAAGTGGTAGACGCGACAAGCAACACTTAGCGTACGGGCAAAGCAATGATTCCAGCACAAGCAAAATACTCTGTTCGCCACTCACTCCATTCCAGGCCAACGAAACAGGTAGCCCTTGATCAATCGCTTACTATGGTGATCCATGTCCCAGGATCCTACAGACACAAAGCGAACCTCGTCCAAGTCTTGGATCTTCTCGTTATAGAACGTCTCGCCCGAAATGCTATTACCTTGGATGCAGTAGGCCTTTAGACAGCAATGACACGCTGAGGTACAGTGACCCTTGCCATGAATCTGATTAGGGATCCAAATCTGATCAGGGTTGAATCCATGGACCAGTCGTGGTTTTTCACAGCATCCGCAACTCCGTCCACAACAGCCTCCTCGCCCTGCACAATCTTCTCGTAACTCTTCAGACAGATACCAGTCTGGGTGTTTTCTTTGTCTCGCAAATCCACGAGCCGCTGACATGCTATGTATACCGTCCTCGAGAGCCCAACGCCTCCGACGAGATTCCCAGTATGTCCTATGAAGTGGAGTAAGCCTGGACCATGGCAGATTGCCTGGAAACCTTGAATGCACCTAAGCAATTCGTTGGACAGTCCATCTCATCCTGATATCTTCCTTGATAAGTTCTCTGAACCAGTCCCTGTCCCACGAGGCTGCGTATAGATGGTAGGAGTAGGATACCAACTGAGCAAGTCCATCATAGTTTTTA